ACATTTGATTTTCTGTCCTAATAGGGACTATTAAGCGAGTACACTCAAAGTTTGCATCTCCGTTTTCTTTTCATTTCCCCTTCCCAAGTTAAACGAGCTGGGAGGGCAGCGGTGCAGAGGCAGGAGGGGCCACGTGGCACGGGACAAGTTCAACGCAGCTTTGGCTGTGGCTGCCCGGGTGTCCACGGCTTTCAAACAGGTTCTTCTGCAGCCTAAGGTAAAGTTTGAGAAACCCTCAGCCCCGACAGGAGTTGTCAGAGAAAGTTTTAAGGCACGAAAGGAGAGTTGCTAAATTTGATGGTTTGGACTTCAGCGTTACTTGTGTTTGTCACTAGGAGCAGAAAGAATATCTTACATTTGTGTACGTATGTGCTTGCATACCTACACAAACTTCCTGTAGTGCAAAGACACCACATCACGACTAATTTACAGTTTGTAACAAAAAAAAATTTCATTTTTATTTGACTCTTGAAAATTGACACTGAAATGTAATCTTCATAAATTAATACCAATTTAAATTTGATGCACGTGTTACCAAGACGGTAGGTAAAACCCTCGTGCCTTGTAACACCAAATCTATATGCAAAAACCAAAACTGCACTGCTAGTTAAATTGAAAACTATTTCTCTTGAAGTAGAAACATTAACTTTTACTCCAGGTAAGTCTGAAGACAGAGGAAAGACCAGCAAAGTATTACATACAAATTTAGGAGATAGCTTCAGGACAATTTTCCTCTAGCAGAACTAAGACTTACTTTGGGCAGTAGTGAGGAGGGTAGTATTATATAAAAATGTTTGGAAGTTATTCTTTGACCAAGGAGATGCCAGAAGCAATACTGGGGCTCCACTGAAGCCAGTGGCTGAACGGTGTTTTAACTTCCCAGAGCTGTGACTTCAGCTCAGCTACCCAGTCACCCACTACACGACAAGTTACTTTCCCCTTATGGTGAATTAGCTATAAATTTTAATCAGTATTACAGTGAATAAATTAGCGTCTCTTCTATAAACTCCCCCTTTACAGCTCCTGTAGGCCACGGTTTCGCTAATTAAAGTTCTCATTGGATTGACTTGACATCCTGCTAAAAAAGCTGAACTGATATGATGGCATTGCATGTACATCAAGGGGTGTCTCTAGATCATCGTTACTTGACAGTGTACGTAGCTAGAGATGCAGTGACCCTTATTTTTTAAGTGAGGCATATGGACAAAGAAGTTCCTTGGCTGAAATTTAATTTATATTTCCGTATTTAGATCTCAAAGTTGATATCATGAGAGCTTCAGAGAGGGAAGCAGGATTACGTTTTTATTTTCTTAATCAGAAAATACAGAACTGTTACTGAGAAGGGACCTTTTTTCTCTCCTTGGAAGGTGCTCTGAATATATTTTTTCCGTTTTCCCCTTTCCCTTCTGTACTTCATGGTTATTAAAATTAAAACAACCCAAGAAGTGAAAATTCATACCTTAAATAAAACCCTCTCCTTAAACATTCAGTGTTAAATAAAGTAAGCAGTAACATCCTTCTCTTTGATGTTTGGAGCTAGACAGACAGAAGTGGATAAGCTCTATTTATTTGCATGTATCGCTTCTCTTTCATACCACATTAATACCTGGAAATGGGAACTGTTTTTATTTTGGGGTAGCGGGTGCTTCCTCCACTGTTACCGGCTCCACCAGTCTGGTCTCTTCTGTCTGGTGACACCAGGGATTATTTCAGGGAGAGCTAATTTGTCCACCATTGTGCAAACAGCCTTCATGACTTTGCTCATTGCTCCAGGTTACGTTCTTTGTCTGACGTATAACTCAAAGCTAAGAGGCAAACCCCACCTTTCAAACCAAATTTAATACTGATAGAAAGGGCAAGAGTTTAGTGGATGAGTGCTATTTCCAATGAGCATTTTACTCATGTCGGTGAACATCTGGTGTAAGCACTGCCTGCCCGAGCCGCCTGCGCTCCCCGCTCTGTGTGCTGTACCGAGACCCCTGCAAGGGGTCAAAATGAGGATGGGGGAGCCGAGTTATTTGCCCTTTCCTCTGTGCTTTTGGTGTACGTCCCCTGTCATTGCCAAGGGGTGGGCAGAAGAGGCTGTTCCACAGCACCAGGCAGGTACCTGTACCGGGGAGAGCCCAGCCCTGTGCTGAGCAGTACTGAATGGGGCCGCTCGATCGTCTTCCCTGAGGCTGCTGAGCTCCAGTGATGGTTTTGCAGTTCTTTGATTATGCCGTCAGAGCAAAGGGATTCGCTCGGAAATGAATCCATAGAAATAGGTCCTCGTCGGAGATCTGGTTATTTTGGAAATAAGCGGAGAAATTCATGATTGGTACATGTTCACTGATCCGCAAACAAGACTTAGCAAAGACACGCACGTTTGCTAGGTCACCTGCATAGAGGTAAATATCTTTAATGTTCAGACCTCATCATCCCTGGCCCTGCAGCAGCTCTTCAGACCCTGTCCATCTCTCCCCGTGCTGCTAGAGGAGTCCCCCCATAGCCAGGATCAATTCAGATCGTGCTTGAGCAAATTAATCTAATTATCTGACTGGCAGGATGTAAGAACTAGAAAGGAGACTCTCTCAGTGGAGCAGACCAGGACCACTGAATGCTAGAAAAAAAATCTCCAAAGTACAGAAAAGAGGCACTTTCCCACTCACCGTACCTGGAAGATGACAAAGGAGTCAGAACCTCGTGTTGTTGAAATGTTATGTCAAAGTGCCATCTCTTCTTAAAACCTTTCCTGACGCACATCAGACCCACATCGCTCCAATCCCAAAAATACAAGAGGATGGAAGAGCAGGGGAATTCCTATTTCTAGGTGTATCTAGAATAAGAGAAAATAAGTTTTCCCTCCTGCTGTGACAGAATTAATAATAAACCATAAAGGATCAGAGATTTAACCATTAAATATCATGACAATGGACGTGCAGCATACGGTACAATAACTAACCCTGACAATGCCCTGTGCTATGTAAGCTGGTGCAAGCAGGTCACTGCCTCTAAGGAGGCTACTTTGGAGGTTAACATCAGGCACAGCCCGGGCATATGGAAGTAACAGAGTAAGAAAAGGACAGTGGGAGAAAGCAAGTGCATTTGCCTTACTAGAGAATATGATTAATAAGTTCTTTGATGGTAAGACTGCACAAAACTCTGAACCTATAGAGCTTCTACCCTCAGTGTGTTTAAATCGGGTAGTGTTTGATGCTGGAAGATGGGCAAGGGCAGGTCACCAACACGCTTGCTGAGCTGTGATCCCGATTACAGGTTCTGGTTCTCTTTTTTGGCCGCCACTGTGAAGGTGGTGGTTAGAGCAGCTTTAGAGCAGACTAGGTTCAGAGCAGTTACTGGGCCATGACTCTGGAGAATGAGGTGTCTTCTGCAGTGACGTAGCCTTTTCTTTAATGTCGTGGTGCCTTCTGTATGCATGTGGGGAGAAAGGTGATGTGGCACCCTGAGAGGTCCACAGCCTGTAACCAGCACAGCAGCGAGGGGGGCAGGGGGCTTCGGGAAAGCACCTGGCCACAGAGCTGTGCCTTTACCTGTTCGGAGGATGAAACGATGGGGACAGGAGGGCAAGCACAGAGAGGCACATCGTTAGGCTATCTAACCAAGCCTAATGGGAAATGTCCCACGGGGAGTGTTCAGCAATGCCCATCTGTCCAACAAAAGCGCCTACCTGGGAGCATCGCTGATCTACAGCCTGAGAAATGCTCTGCCTTCATATAGGTTTGTGTGTGTATGATGTGTGATTTTTACTCATGAGATAAGATTAAGACTCTGAGATTCCCTTTGTTTTGATTTTTATCTACGAGGTAGCTTAAGTTGAATGAGCTAGTAGAGCTTTTGTCGCTATTGACCTAAGTAAAGCATCAAAATAGCAAGAAATCCATGTGTCCCTCCACTCCTATTCAAGGTTTTCAGATCAGCTGTTTTGGACCCATTTCTGTGCATCAATTTTTGAAGTACAGCAACAGAGTATGTGATTTCATCATGGTACCTTCATTACTTGGGTGCTGAGAGTACTCAGCTTCTCAGCAGCTCCACAACACATGCAGGCGATGACAGAATCTCGCTGAGATCTCAGGCTTTACCACCTAAAACAGTTTCATAACATTCCTTATAGATGCTTTCAGCTGAAAAGCGTATCGGCATTGTGTAGCGCAGAGAAAGAAGAAGAAAATCTCAATATTTTCATTATGGAATTAGTAAAATTGTGATTGACTGAAAAATGAATCTGTAAGATCAGGAGCTGATAATGTGGGGACTTGAATCCTCCTCGATGATCTGAACATTCTATTAAATGTTTTTGCTATGAAATCTTCAGCTTTGATTAGTTTGAACTCAGCTCACCTCTGTAAGTATTTTTTCTCTTACTCTCTATTCATCTCAACCACAAAAAGTATTGTTCTCACTGCTATCGCGCAATGATTTATCTCTACACATAAAAATAGTTTCTTACTATTTTAATCAGCCATTTTTCTTTATTACTGATTGTTTGGGTGGTTTATTGGAAGCTTAAAATATTTTATATAAATCACTTCCAGAGAGTGCTGTTCAGTGATATCTCATAAAAGCTGCTAGCATCAGCACAGTACCAAAAGTTAATTTGCACGAGGTTAACCCGACGAGCTCTGGGACTGGTACATTCTGTTTAATCATAAATGAGATAGAGTTATTAATTTTATGTAGTTTTCATTTTCACATTAACGTTCTCTTTTGCAAAGCGTAATCGCCTTCCTGCTGTTTGTAATATGGCAGTCCTTTTAGTTAGGGCAGTCCTCTACAGAGGAAGACATAGTGCCTTCCCAACGAGTTTACACTTACGACACAGACAAGGAAGGCAGAAAAAGGGGACACTACAGAGTGGCGTGATTTGCCCAAGGTCACACCACAAACCACCACCAAAGGGAGAAGCAGAATCCAAATCACCTGAACCTCATTCCAGTGGTGTATCTAATGACCGTGCTGCCTCTTAATATGTTGCTGTTCTTATTGTTCTTTCTTTATAGTTCGGGATCGGGTACGATCAAAAATGGAGAGAGATATTTTGGCAGAAGTGAATCATCCTTTCATAGTCAAGCTTCATTATGGTAACTATAATAAAATATAATTCACGTTTGTTCTTAAATTTGTTGGGGAATTGTAATTAGATGTGTTATAATTTCGTATAGATACCCCCTGCCTACTTATGACTCTAACAAAGTCGTAGAGACTCCCTGTGTGAAATTCTTCATTTACGCTAAAGGAGAATTTCAGTATATAAGTAGGTTTTAGCCATTCCTCCTTGAAAACAGGTCTGTCCTAAGGTCTGATGTGATACCTAGTGCTGGTGGGGTAACTGGTGAGTATACATCTGCCAACCCCCTCACCTGCTGTCAGGTATCATTTAGAAAACCAGAGAATCTAAATAAAACCTGTTTTTAATAATCAGCACCAGTCCAAATTTGTATATGTGTGTATATGAATGTGGTGGCTTGCTGGAGTTGCCTTCCTCTGCCTCACCAGCTCCCTGAGGAGCCCCATCATTACTGCAAAGGGTCTTCTGAGGACATTTTGGGTAGTGCCGGCTCTCCTCTCACAAACTCGGGAGCTTCTCTTTATGCCTAGCCCTCAGTGAGTCCTGGTACCTTGTGCAGTGGAAAGCAATATTAATTCATAGGTGCTTAGCACAGAAAGGAATATATTAGTAATGCGATTTTGTCTCTCAACTGATACCATTTTTTCAGATAGTCTAAGCTCAATTGCTTAGTTCTATACAGAAATTAATTTTTTCTCTTCTCAAAGTGCTGAAATGACAGGGAAGCTAATGGCATGAATGGTGCACTGCTAGTCAATAAGATTCATTCTTTGGAGACATTATCTTGATTCAGACTTCCAACATCTCCATCCTTTTCTAATGCAGCATTTCAAACAGAGGGAAAGTTGTATCTAATACTAGATTTCCTGCGGGGAGGGGACCTATTCACAAGACTCTCCAAAGAGGTAAGCTGATAGATTTTTTAATTTAGAAATGAAAGACTGTCGTGTATTTCCAGAACTCAGATTAAGTTGGTGGGAATGAAAAATGGCCTTGGGAATACTCCTGATATATATATATATATGTAATAGAGCTGTGTTATCTTGGATCTTTAAGTGTGTTCTTGGTAATTGTATATGAATTATGCTATAGGTAATGCAGCGGATAGTATGTAAGCATCACTGTCAGAGAAAACTGTACCACTACTAAGCCCTTCCCATATCAAAATAGCCCCGGACTCACTGCTTGCAAAATATACCTTGGACATGGTAAGAAACAATCTGAGAAACCAATCCCCAATACAATTTGCCCTGGGCACAGGCACAGAACCGCTGGAAAAACACAACCCCTGCCAGCAGAAAAACCAAGCAAGGAAGGAGCCGTCTCCTGCGGCAGCTGCCGGGAGCAGGTCAGAGACCACGCTCCCCTCCTGGACTTGGAGATTGGGTGCCCCAGCCCACTCCTCCACTCCCCCATCCATCACCTCCCTGGGCTCCCGTCCCTTCCCCGTCCTCCATAGCTCCTGCCCCTGGAGAGATGCTGCTGCTGGAGAAAAAGGCAGTCAGGAAATGGTCCAAACTTGAGTCTCGCTAAATACCTGTAGAGAGAGGCAGCGGTAGGTTTTTTAGGTTCATTTAGCACTTACCTGCATCTCCAAATGGCTCTTTGAGCCAGCTGTCCACGGTGCTTGAAGCAGTGCGTCCTCCTGCACGTAGCCTCGGAGAGGGACCTGCAGGCAGTGCGGGTGAAAGCAGTACTTTTACTCAAAAGTTTCCTAGCTTTTTTTTTTTTTCCCCCATACAATTCCTGGTTTGGTGACATGCTGCAGGTTGCTGTGCGCCCCACAGCTTGGGACCCCAAGTATTCGCTTTCAAGGCTTGTTTGCTAATGCAGGAAGACATTAACAACAGGTTAATTATACTGCTGAGTAATGATACTCATAGAAGTACTCATCACGTGGTAGTGGTTATTTTTAATATGAGGAAAAACAGTAAAGAAAAATATCCTTCTGCTGTTGTCATGAAATCAGGCTTTGTTAGCGAGGCAGTGTGCTTTCTTGGCGCGGGCCTCTCCACTTTCATGGAAGAAGAGAGAAAAAGTGATTCTTCCCTACAGAGGACGGTTACCTGTTCTGCACAATCGGGGAACTCGAAAGTGAAAGTGAAAGAGAACAGCTCAGATTTTGTACTCCTCTAAAACTTCACATTTTCCCCAAAGCTTTTCCATGCAATGAACTGACTTCCCTCCTTTATGCGATCAAGAATGAGTCCTCTTAACTTGACAGTCCTATTATGTACTTCTTTTTTCAGTGTTTGCAGCTCATCTTGTCCACTTACGCTTTGCAGCTGTTTAGTGGCAAGGTATCACAAGGGAAGAAGTTATGGGAAAACTTGTGCCGCTTGCAATTTGTTAATTATGGACTTGGTCAAACAATATTGCTTTCAGTGGGCTTCCAGTCAGATCCCATATACTGCAGCATGCGTGCATGCAAAGCTTGTCTCTCTCTTGCTCTTTCTGAGACATCTGACTTTAACTAGGTGTATCTGCATAGATTACATTTTCCCTGGTTCTATTGATTTCATCTCTTGCCTACATTATTTACTTTAAACCATATAAATAATGTAAATTTATTTTGATATTTAATGTAGTTTTTCTGTTCAGACCAATTACATTTTTAGCCAGAGTTTTTGCTTGTGTATCCTTTTTCTTTCTAGCCTTTCAGTGATATTCTTAATTAAATTATGTGACATCTGTTCTCTGAATCGTCTCTTTTTGCTCTCAGCCTTTTGCAGCTTCTCTGAGCGCTAAAGTTTTGTGGCTGCCCCTTTCCAAAAGCAGAGACTTCATTTTAAAAACAAGCTCAGCAACTTCTACTGTAGATATTTATGTATGACATGTAATTTGTATTGAGCTGACTCATTTTACTTCTGTCATGCATAGTATTCACACTTGTGTATCCAATAAATCAGCTTTTCTTTCTGCATTATTATCGCTGTACATACTGAAATTTAATTAAAGAGAACTTAATAACCTCTGGGTATAATGAAAGTTGAACCAAAGGGGTTTCTTGCTATCTGAGTTTTTCTGAGCTTTCTGGTTTTTCAATTACAGAAGTTTTTTCCCACCTGAAAAAGAGCTTTCAGTGCTAGCAATATCCATATCAGCTATAGAAAGGAAGCAACTGCCCTCAGTTTACACCTCATCAGGCCCTGGATGTTAGACAACACATCACTGCTTAGGGCATCTGCACTGAGATTCCTTGAACCCTCAATGCAAAGGGTTTTAAATTCGTCTCCGAGTCTCTTCATGCTGTGTATTCTGCCCAGATTTGGAAGCATTTTGCTTCCCGAAAGAGGTTACCCCATGTTATTTCATGGGAATTTGGCGACCAAATGCCTAGATTTTAGCAAATGAAGAGATATGAAAGCAATAAGGGCTGCACTGAACGTATTGAATTTTGCCATTCGTTTCCAAAGGCTAAGGAGTTAGTTGGAACATTATTCATATTATTTCAACATGATGTCATCTAAACATATCAAACAGACAAATGAGAGCAGCATGCTTTAAGGAACAGAAGTACTCGACAGATCAAGTTTTGTTTTATAAGGAGAATCTGGTAAGAATTGTTAATGTGAGCTCAGACAAGTTATGGAAAACTGAACCTGATACGATGGTCCTTCCAGCATTCCTGAGTTAGACAATTCCTTCCCCATGTTTGTTTAATGCAAGCCAGCCCACCGCTGTCCAGTAAATAGACGTGTTCTTCTCTTCCTTCCCTCTAGGTGATGTTTACAGAAGAGGACGTCAAGTTCTACTTAGCTGAGCTGGCCTTGGCATTGGACCACCTCCATGGTCTTGGAATTATTTACAGGGATCTAAAACCAGAAAAGTAAGTTAATGAGAAAGAGCGAACCAAAGCGTAAATACGTGAGCTTTAAGGTGGTTTCTGCTCCTTGTCACACTAGTAAGTCAAAAGGTGCCAGAGGCTCTGCCTGCCTTCTTGTGTGCGAGACTACACACGAGCCCCTCGCCGCCAGCAGTAGGGTCTTCCTATCGTACCGTCTTAGCATGAGGCCAAATATTTTGACTATGCTCCAGTGTGATGGGGCCTCGATGTGCCTGGCCTTTGGTTTAGTGAACGATCTCAGCGCGGGATTCTGATCTCTGTGCCTTTGACTTCCGCAGCACTGTTCTCCATTTGCAGCATTTAATCTGGCCTTCCCCTTGATGTGGTATAAACTGCTTGAAGCAACTCCACTTCCAGCTCGTACAAATTATGTTGTGGCACCGTTCAGTTTTATTGTAGGCATTGCTTAAAATAAATGAGCGTCTCTGAAAACTCATGTATATACTAGCTCACGAGAGACATGATAATGAGGATTTTAAAAACACTTTTATTAACAATCCAAAATGTTTTCCCAAGTATTATTCTCACTTATATTTGCAGCTGTTTTCTATTCCTAATGTGGTGTTATGGAGGGTTTTCCTTTCTCTTTTTTCTTTGCAGTACATCAGCAGACTGAATGACACCCTCAGTGCTATCACTGGGAGTGATGTGATACTGTTTTTATTCTGTGACACTCGTCTGGTCCTTTCCCTGCATCTTCTGTGCTGGCTCCAATAAAACAGGCTGCAACCTTTCAAACTTACCAGCCTTTTGAATGTAATGGTCACCGTCATTTAAAAAAGTTGACCGCTGAAGGAAGTCTGTTTGGCTGTTGCTTACACTTCCAAAGTATAACAACAAAGCAGCCTTTTCCTTTTGAGACATGAAATTCAAAAATATGCAGCTTTTTCTTTAAAATGAAATGTTGTTGCTTTCATACTCATGGACAAAATAAGAGACCAAAAGTGATGGAATAGGAACTTTGTAGGTGAGAATGTGAAGGGGAGGAGGGTATTTATCTACAGTACAGTACTACGGGATTTAAACTTTAAATTCAATTTTATGTTTTGGTTACAAAAACAATAGTAGCAGTACCGTATGAATTCATACAGATGTACGTAACGAAAGCTCTCAGTCCTTTGGTCTAGACACACTTTTGCAGGTGAATGAAATTTCCAGTCATTTGGTTTACGCAACCAAAACTGAAAACCAGAGTCTTTGGTAAATACAGGAAGTTATCCTCCAAATTAGACAGCTGGAGGGAGAAAGGTACCAGTTTGTCACCAACATGAAGTGCAGGTAGGCAGCGATCGCACCGTAGCTGCCATCGCCACGTGCTGTTGCATCGTCTGCCAGCAGCTCTTCAGTTTCAACTTCTTTCTGAATTGCTGTTTTATTCATTCAGCATCAACAAACCTCTACATAATAGAATAACTCTAGTTATAGATTTTCAGTTCTAAACTTTGTTTCTAGTGAGCATTAGTATGAATCACGCACTACTTTTCTTTCTGGGGTTCAATGAAACTGTTTTCAAGCTAAGGCATGACATATGAAGCTGCTATTAGAAGGTATCCAAATACGAGCCTGTATACTCAAATAGAAGTCACAGTGCTGTTACGTTTGTAGGCACATGCCATAATTTTTTGCTTTAGGAGAAGTTGGAAACCAAGAAGAAAATTAAGTGCATGTCAAAACTATTCACTGTATTTGAGATAGAGAACTCGATTTTTCAGAGTTCTCGGCATGAAGTGTCGCTTTGCGTTTCAAAGCACATCTCTCTCTGACTTCAGCTGCAAGTGAGAGCAGTTAAAACTTCTGCAGACCAAACTGCAGTGCCTCAAGCCAGGGACCAGTGAATTGAGAAATTAAAGCTCACCTAGGAAAGGAAAGTGTCACTGATTTGCCATTCTCACACAGAAGCATGTCGAAAAGGCACAGATGGAATCCAGTTCTCTGTGCGTTTTTGACTGAGCTGAGACCAGCCAGCCATCCCCATCGCTGTACTGCCCTGCTAAAATCCCCGAATATTACCTGTTCTACCAACTGAGGCAAGATTTCTCTGGAAGAAAACAGAAAGCATCATCATGTAACTAAAGACCTTTATACACTGAGATTACTGTCTCAAGTTAAGGTGGCAGCCCTCATTCTTTTATTTTCCTAACTTTTGAATATGTGATTTGTGGTCTTTGATGTACAGTTTAATAGATACCAGTGATGCAGTTGGATCTAGATACAATTGTCACAGTATTAAATTAGTTTACAGGAATTTAACTGTTCTTGTACAGGAAAAGGAATGACCCAGACTGGTGTAACTCAAGTTCATACCTGGGGATGTATCAAGGCATATGTTTGATTGAAAACCATATTCTTTAAAAATAGCTTTATAAGTGCAAAACCTATATGTATTCATGTCTAGGACAGCAGAGCGTGGTAGCCTGTGATTTCACTGGAACTTTAGATTTAGAGTGAAAAAACAGGTACAGCAGAAAAAAAATATTTGTTCTAAGGAGAAAAAAGTGCTATATTTTTAAGATACATCTGGGAAAGGATAGCTTTCTAAATAAGAAGATAAAAGAACATTAGGACCATCCCAGGATGTTCTCATCCTCCCCTTGCCTCTGGGCAGGGTCAAATATATCAAGGCCATTACAGGTGTGTTGCTAACCTAGTTTTAAAATAGCTGGTGGAGACTCCATGGTCTCCATAGGAGGCTTCTTGGCAGTGCTCTACCAGTTGTACATCTAGAAAGTTGCTCCTAGTAGCCAATTTGAAAATTTTTTTCTGTAGTTGCAGGCCATTTCTCCTTGGCCTGTCCTCCTAGACTGCCCGACCTGCTCGTTCTGCTCCCAGCAGCAGTCTTGAGGGGGTTGTGAGCACATCCTTGTCCTTGGACCCTCTTCTGCCCCATAAATAATCCAGCTACCAAACTCTTCTTCACCAACTTCATCAAAGTCAGCCTTTCTAGGTGTTCAGTCATCCTCATTCCTCCCCTTTGGTTTCTCTTGATCCACATCTCCTTTGAAGTGCAACATGTAGAATTACACCCACGTGTTCAGGAGAAGCAGTACCAGTCTGATTAGAGCACAAAGTTTACTCTATCAGATTTGCAGAACTGGAGATATATTAATTAGTTTGTAGTAATTTCCCAATTCTCCCACTCCCCCTTTGTTAAAGACAGGCACTGCAATTGACCTTCTTTCACTGTTCAGTATTTTTACTGTCCTCCAGAAGCTCCCAAAAATAACTCCTAGTAGGTTTGAGATTGCTTCAGTTAAGTGTCCTAAAATGACATTTGTCGGAATTGTTTATGTCAAAGAAGACTAGTTAGAAAATAGCACTGTTCAGACCACTTGAAAGAACCCTCAGTACATTAAAATTTAAGGTTCAACATTTTTTTAAGATTCCCTGAGCAAAAATCCATATTAACAATTCAAAGCTATGAATCAATTTTAAGTGCAACCAGAACATATACTCTGGGAGTTGTTATAAAGTTAGCTCTACTTACTTCAAAAAGGCAAGCAATTGAATTTTCTGGTTAAAGTCTTGTTTAGCAGATGCTTCCCTTAAATTGTTGCAGCCGAATTCTTCTCCTTGAGTTGTCCTGGTGGTTTCAGTGGCGTCCCTTGTGGAACAACGTACTGTTCAGTCGCACTGAAACCCACGCAGTTACTTACGTGGTGAGGCATGTTTCTGTTTAAGAACTGTGGGGTTAAGCTATTAAATATGGTAAATATACAGAAATAGAAAAACGGAAACTTATTATAAAGTAGTATATGATGCGTCTGTTATTTCCTATGCTGTGGTTTAAGGGTATGAGTGACTTAGAAGTAACTCTACCTTCTGAAAATGCACAGACTTTTTTTATTTATCTTTACCTTTTCTGTCTCCAGGTCCCCAGGCACACCTTGATACAGTTCTGTAGAGCAGGGGCTCTGGTTAATGTGGAGCGGTTTACGTTGTAATGCCCTCAGCTGTCTGAACAAGGGACAGCTCATATAACCGCTCATATAACAACTCCTGAGTTGTTGAACTATATTTTAAAAAAACCAAACCACCGCTGCTTAATGTGGCATGTTGCAAACCATGGCAGTTCATTCATGAACGTAGCTGCTCTGCATAGAGAGGGAAGATCTGAGAATCAGTAAAGGACAAAGACTTCTGGTGGAAAATAACCATCATCTTCCATCGAAGTAAGCAGTCCCATTTTGGGACTTCATGGTGTCAATGAAGCTACAGCAGAGATGAGTTTGGCATAAGACCGTTCAGCATGGTGAGATAGTATGGGGTCATGCAAACACTGAAATGTCACAAAATGTGAACAGTTTGTAGGAATCTTTGTCTCTTTGGAAAATAGTTGAATACTTCACTCTAACCTGTACTTTCATAACAAAACCTGCAATCAAGTTAAACACTCTTGATGAAGTTTCAGGTTTTCTTTCCAACCTGAAAATTTGGCTACAATTTCTGAAAAACATAAAGTGTCAGTTGAATTTTCTGCAAAACTGAGCTGACTTGGAAAGAAACTTAAATGATGCAAAAAAAACCCCAGCGTTCCAGCTTTAATAGATTTGGCAGAACTTCACGGTGACTTGGGTATGTTGGAGTTCAAAGTGATGTTCAAGCCTAAGAGACATGACTCAAAACTAAAAAGAGAGAGAGAGAGAAACGGGAGAGAATTGCTGTGGCCTTGATTTAAGACATGATATAAAATAATGTAAACAACCAATAATGAAGGCTTCTTATCCCTGTGCTAAAGTTGCGGCAAAAAACTACTATGGAGTTTGCAGTCCTAGGTCTACTGTGAGCTCCTCCTGTAACTTGGAGCGTGTCATTCCCCTGCTACTAACTGAGCTGCCCGGCCTCTAACATGGAGATTTTCAGCCTTTATTTTCTCAAGGCATGCTTTTAAACTGAGGTCAGTGAAAGCAGTTTGAATGTTTGTGGGATGATCCTGAGGCTAAAATGTTGTTATTGTTTTGAAATAAAGAACAGGTCGACAATAACAGTATCGTGTAAACCTTAAACCGAACAGATAAAATGGAAAAATCTTGTAGTGAAAGGTTATCACTCAGTGGGATTATAACCTAGTTTAACATTTAAAAGTAGCCTACTTCTTATGGTTTTTATAATTTCAAAACATTAATTTAGAGGAAAGATTTCTCTCAAGCCTGAATCACATTAACAACTTCTGGTTCCTTTTTCCCTTCTGCAAAATAATACTAGCTTATTTCAGATCAGCTGATCCTGCTAGCCATAGCTAAAGTAATCGTGATTGTCACAATAGAATTTTTACTGTGGACAGTGTGGGATAAAAAGGAACTGTAAAGTGATAAAGATAAAAAGAGAAGAGAGAAAGTATGATCAGATAATGTTTGCTTCTGCAGCCAAGGGAAAACTATTTGTCTGCTGTAATTTGGATGCTTAGAAGCAGGTACCTTGTTCTTTGCTGCTTAATCTCACTCTAAGCAATTCAGTGCATCAATCATCTTTTTTTCTCACTGTTGGCATACGTTCCATACCGTAGGGTATGGTATGGAATATCCCTTTGGGTAGTTTGGGTCAGCTGTCCTGGCTGTGCTCCCTCCCAGCTTCTTATGCACCTCCGTGTTGGCAAAGCACGGGAAATTAAAAAGTCCTTGACTTAGAGTAAGCACTAATTAGCAACAACTAAAACATCAGTGTGTTATCAACAGTATTCTCATACTAAATCCCAAAACCATAGCATTGTACCAGCCACTGGGAAGACAATTAATTCTATCCCACCTGAAACCAAGACAGTATATTATTTTCTTTTTACATCATGTGTCATTTTCAGTTCCTAAGTGTAGAGTTATATGTGTGGGCAGATGGCAAACGTGGAAACACCCAGCTCTCCCAGGGGTGCTGCCAGGGGCTGCGGGGGAAGCTGAGGGCACTGTATAAGGGTGATAGGGAACATGAGACAGAGAGGAATCTATAGATCAAGTTTGAGGGGATATAGGGGACACATCCATCGGAAAGCAGAATCCGTTTATTTTGCTGCTCATGCAAACATTTAGTGTGAGAAAGCCTGTTGTATGCTTTGGCTCGCTTAACCTAAGGCAGGATTATCAGTCTGATAGCTGCATTGGTATTGTCTCCATCCCTTTAATGAGGGTAAGGTATGAACCCTCTAATGAGGGCAAAGGTATGAAAAACATATATTGTATCCATAGCAAAGCAGTATGGATTTTCAGTAAGAAATCTATGAAATATTAAATCAATGTTTCTGGGGAAAATCCCACTATCTTTGAATGGTATTGTTATTCACAGGGGCTTCCTGGGTGTGGGACAAAATTTGGGGTGATGTCTGTGAGCTGTACTCCCCCTTGCTGTTTTTCCAGACCCAGGACTGTGGAGTTCATACATTCACACTCACTTCCACACTGGCAGATTTTTTTATTTTGCTCTCTTCTGAAGGACAAGCCTCTCATTTAAGGATTGCAGTCACAAAACCACACTTAAACATGCCTGCTATAGTATAGGCTAGTGGTTAAAAATTATGCCTCTTCAAGAAATCTGGGGAGAAAGAATAGAGGTAAAGATGCTTTTATCGAGAAGAAATTAATTATTGAACACATAGTGGTGACTCAGCTGCTGGCCTTTGATGAATTGCACAGTAACAGGCTGTTCTAAACACACGAATGAATGACAGAAGATCATCTCTTTTCAATTATGTTTCAGTACAGAGACAACCTTTCACAAAAGTATAGCCCGGTGTGTTTGTTTCACTTCTGTCTTATTTTCTTCCTGAATAATTAAAGTGACTCTCTAAGAGAAGGGGAATATGAAAATAGCTGACACCTTGCTAGACCATTTTGAAAAGAGAAATACACTAAATCTAACTAGAACTGAAGAAACACCACCCTCATTACTGGTATTTATAGGCAGAAAAGTCACCGAAAATCATTCTTTTTCAGTTTCAATGTTCCTTCTTGTTTCCATAAAAACTAGCAATGCTTTTTGTGAGCTACAGTCATTTTTCTCACAGGAATGGAGTGCCTTTGTGAGAATAAAATATGTTGGCAGGTGGCAAACATGAGAAGACTTGAACTTGGCTTACAGGCTGAATTTTCATTTATGCTTCTGGACAGAATAAATTAGCAGGGGTTGAGATCCATGCAGTTAGGCTGAGACTAGTCATTGTGCTCAACGATCACTTTTATTACTTCAGCATGAACGTATCTACCCTTTGGAGTTAATTTTAGGTCTCGTGAGTCCAAGCCCTGGTTATTTGTGTGCTTGCCTGTATTATTATGAGAAAAGCAGAAAACCTGTAGCTCCTTCTCCCGCTGGAAGCCGATACTCTGCCATTGTTGGCTTTGAACACCCTGTCCTTTCCAAGCTCGGTTTGCATGCCCACCCTGAGCATGCTATGGAGTAAGGAGGAGGCTCCCATACAGGCTGTGCCTGCTTCAGACATGAGATCAGACAGACCTTTGAGGATCATTTTTTCTTTCTGGAGGCGTATAATCCACTGAGGGTTTAGTTACCCATGTATTTGCGTCTTGTGTATGTCCTTACCTGTCTTAAACATGTTTTATTCATGTTTGTTAACTGCATTCTGTGCCTGCCTAATGAATGAATGTTTGGTTTTTTTGCTTTACAGCATTCTTCTTGACGAAGAGGGCCACATTAAGATAACAGGTATGTGAGGAACAGAAAAGTTAATGTCTACAAGCTGGTTTTTTTCTGTAGTAGGTTCCATGCATCTTGGTCATTGCTTGGAAAGTTTGCTTACAAAAACTCAGAAGCCGGAAGAGTTTGAGTGTTGGGCTTCTCTTCTCAGGCAATTTGTCGAGCACCCGTGCTGCACAGCACATGGAGAACCCAGCATTTCTTGGTCAAATTGTCCTCTTGACTGATGTGAAGCATGCAGGCTTGGCTGCCTACCACTGTGGGTGGAAGGATGCTTCCAATATGACTGCTTAGTTCAGATGAAATTCTCTGAATTATAACTGTGCAGAGGACACCCGGAAAGACATCCCTTGGCCACCCTGGAGGTGCTGTCTGGCCACCCTTTTCACTGGTGTCCATCTGGGATTGTTCTTCCTAATGCTTTGGTTATCTGAGCAAGAATCCTTACCAGCATTGTCTTCACCAAACCTGAACTGTGTATTTCTGCTTATTAAAAGTCTCTCTTCTGCTTTGGGCCAGAACCTCATCCTGAACAGAGGAAATGATACACGTACTTTTGGGATGTAGTAACAAATGCCAACCAGGCACTCCATGTAGGCAGGGCTTCAGCACACACATGCCTGTGGCCTTTCTACACACAGACATAAGGGTGCTTCATCAGCTGGTTGGTGTCTTTTATTTGAACAGTTTAAATGAGCAAAAGTGTAAATAATTGTGTCTATAGACGTGACAAGTCCTTTTGTTTCAATTTATTTAGATTTTGGTCTGAGTAAAGAAGCCATCGACCATGACAAGAGAGCGTATTCATTCTGTGGGACAATAGAGTATATGGCCCCAGAGGTGGTCAACCGACGAGGACACACGCAGAGTGCTGACTGGTGGTCTTTCGGTGTACTCATGGTAATGGAAAAGTTGTGTGTGTTTGTTGTGGGGGGTGGCTGTAGAAGTGTTAAGAACCCTCAGATAGAATGTACTGCTTTCAGCAATTGAGGGTTGGTAGAAAAGTAGATGTGTAATGATTGCTCGGTCGTTTTCATTGCATCAGCGATAGGGAACCAGCTGCTCCTGGCAGAATATGAGGTAGCATTTGGCCCCAGATTCCCTCTCTTCCTTCTCACAGTCCTTTGGTGTCTCAGTTCGTTACCATGGGTCACGAATATTTCTGCTGCACAGCAACAGGGCAGGGCAAGCTCAGGAGAGCACAAGCGTTTCAGAAGAAACATCTGCCCAGTTACTAACACGGTTCCTGTCAGGAAACAACTCCCCAAGCAGCAATTTTTAGATGTTAGGGACATCCTCTTAGAGAAACTCAGAAATCTACTTTATTTTTTTTTCCTGCAAAATATAGATTAAAAAGGACATATTTTAGAGGGCACTCTGAATGTTTCACAGGACTTCAGTGGTTCTTTTGCCGTTCATCTGTCGTCCTCACATCAGCATTGGTGACTCTTGTTCCACTAATGAGATTCAGGTAGTGTTTGGACGGGCAGTGGATCTCCTGCAGTCTTATTACCTGGTGGGAGACTGTCACTCAAAAACCTCTCTTTTCTCCTGGCGGGCAAAGAAAACAAATACAGATGGGCACCGTGTCATCTTCCTTTCTCCTTCTGTACCATTTTGCTGTGTCTTAATTTTGACTGGTTTGGAACGCTTCCTTTGTCTTGAGTGCATGCTGAAACTGTTTTTGAAATGATGTATGGGAAACGATTTTAAAATGACTGCTTTTTACAGGGGGGAAATCACCAGAAACAGACAGAAATGTATCAGTTGGCACAGAGGAATAGCTAGGGATTCATCTTTTCCTTGCATGTTTTTGCATTGGATTAACTATACAAAAGTTGCAATTTTTCTCCACTGTTACTTAAATGTTAAGAGTCCTACAAGCTATTCTGGAGGTAGTTTAAATGGAATCAATATGAGAAACTGTGCTAATTCATTTTTTATACATGGAAATCAATGAAAAGCTAGTTAACATGCAACACGAATTTACCAAAAATCAGTCATGCGAGATTAATCTGATATTTTACCTGATGAGATAGCCATCTTTTTCTAAACAAAGTAAATGAAGTGGAACACATATGCCACCATTATAATAAAGTATTTGATACAGTGTTGCAGGGGAAATTCATTAATTGAATACGTTTATTAGTCCAATAATAGTCCAAAGATGGTATAGTACCTATGCCATCTATGAGTACATCACAGGGAAAAACACTAGAGAGAGAAAGGAGCTATTTCAGCTAGAGAGTAATAATGCCCCAAGACCAGGTAGGAATAAACTCCTTGTGAAATGTGGTTAGGCTGGAAAGTAGAAGAAAGCTCCCAACTGCTTAAGAAGTCAGGCCCTGGAAAACACTTTCCAAGAAGAGCTCTGCAAGAGGTATCTGACTACAGCGGAGCTGCTTGGCTCATGAGAAGGACCCAGTAACGTCCCCCCGAGTGCTGCGGTATTTGACACTGGGAGACGGTGTCAGGGAAGTTCTTCAGAGAGGTATTGAACCCTCCTCAAGCCAGCCATCCAAAATTAGGTGTTCGGGTGCTAACCTGCTTCCCCCTGCACCCATCCTGCCTCTTCAGTCTGTGGTGCCATTGTTGCTGAGGAAGATGAAGAGAAGATCAAGGAGAAGTTGGTTTGTGAGACTGTGATTTTTTAAAAGCTATATAAATGCTATGGGTTTTTGGAAGCAGTTGTTCCCAGAGTTGTTTTATCACACATAGTGCTGTCCCTTAAGGCCAGACACCATGCATTTATTAATCTCAGAGGGGTATGTTCAGATAACGAAGGGGATGCTGCTCTCTCCTGAAGCGTGCAGGCTGCAGGTCTACCCAAGTGCTCAGTGCCCAGCCACCGACGGACACCACAGCGCAGCACCGCAGCTGTGGCTCACGTTGCACCTCACCGTGGTTATCACAGCTCCCCTGCAGAACCAGGGCAGGAGCGTAAATTAACGTAGCCATGTGCTTTTCTAATACAAGTTCATTTCCCATGCTATGGAAGATATTTTAGGTAGCTATATGTTACACTACATACCACAGTCCATAGAGTATGTCTAAATTTTGTTTACCCTAAGTAGACAACTGGTGCCACCAAAGGAGGTAAGGTTAGGAAGCAATGTGAAAACTAGTGAAAATTTGGGGTGAGGAGGGCCTATATCATTGATCTAGCTGGTTGACAGCAGTTAATCTAAGTAAATATTGTAATTTATTACCTGAATTTAAAAGGAGTGGAGCTTCCTTATCTCCTACAGCCACAAATCCATTTGTGGATGCTCAGCACTTCTGAACCGTACATGTTTTTTCAGAAAAATCAAAAGGTTATGTCTCATATAATAAATATATCCCAACTCTTTACAATTTTTTATTATGTATTTCATTTTGGAGGATAGCCGTGCCATCTGACTGTCTGTTTCCAGTTAAATGATGGTGTATTTGGTGTATAGATGTTTTTCTTTCACCTGCTAATGAACTTGGCTCCTTCCCCCTGTTTTTTGCTAGGCTTTCCTTTTTTTTTTCCCCTCCATCTCCATTTTCATCCCCTCCCCTAGGGATTTAATGCATTAGAATTAGAAAAGGTAAGAATCCATATGAAAGGAGATGAGTTAAAGAGAGTAAAATCTTTTTAACTGTAGGCTAATGCTTTAAGCCTTTGAGTTCTACCAGACATCTTAGAAAAAACAGCTCAATCCCTTTTCCTTTCTAACAATTAACTGGTTGGGGCAGAAAAAGGGTGTTTCCATACACTAAAAGTGTGGGAGGATTTTCTGATGCTGTCTTTCACACTGCTCATTTCTCCTTGTTTTCCTTGATCTATCACTTGTATGTTCTATTAGGGAAGCCGTTTTTCTGCCAGTCTGAAAAGCTGAAGAGAATTAAATGGCACCCAAATGATTTATTAGCATTTCTCTCTAAGTAATTTGCAATATGATGCAAAATGTACAAAGAAAATACACCAGTTGGTGGAATATGCATAGATTGAAAGGAAGTGAATGTGATAGTGTAATTCTCATACCTAAAATTTTGATCAAAAGAGGGAACATATTAGGCAGATAGTGGTAAAATGGCCATCAGAAGAGCAACCAAACACTCTCTTGTCTGTTCTGTGAAGAGAAATTAAGGCTGCAGTATGGAGAGTCGGGTTGTGCTACCAGCTCCTTGCCAACCTGCACTGACCAGGGCAAAGGTTAGAATCGAGCTGAATGATCCTTGAAAGCAACCTTAAATGTGGCGTGTTATAATTATTAATATCAAAACAAACTTGTCTGAAAAAGACTGAAATCTGGTCTTGATTTATTATTTACTTGTTATTAATTATTTTATTAATTAATCTTCAGTGAGAGTTTTACTATCAACAACAGTAAAACTTCATTTACCGCCAGCTAAGTCTTTGACATAGGCCACAGAAGTAAAATTGCTATCTGCTCCGTCCCATTTGCTGCTCAGTTTGTTTAAATTCTTTTATGGTAGCTCAGTGTGTGTCAAGGGGTATAGTTGCACAAATGTTGACATTCACCCTTTCCAAGCACTCCAGAGGACAGTACCTGCCTCTCATTTAGTATGTGATGATGACTGCTGGGACCCAATTAAAATTTTGTGTTGGTGAATTTATGTGGTTTATCCAGATAGGGCAGAGTTCGTTTTCTGCCTTCCTGCATCTTACTCACTGCATTGGAGATTTTGGATAGGACGTATTCTACAAAAGCTTTGCTTCAAGAGATCTGCATGAACAAGTGATTGACTTAAATTATTAAAAAGTTGTGTATATAACTAATACCTTTTCACCTGCGCTCCAAGAGCCTTGATGCCCGCACTGCCATCCCTGGAGCCCAGACAAACCAGTCTGCATGATATAACGTGCACAAGTCTCTCGGAAGGCTTCTCAAAGCAGTGGTTTTGTAGTTCATCATACCAGCTGATTTACAAAGCCACAGACCTCACGGAAGTCGTATCTGATTCAGTTCAGGGAAAAAGCACACACCAGTATCTGATTCAGTTCAGGAAAAAAGCACGCACCTCTGAGAGTCATGTGAGCAGAGAGGGGAATATAATTAGAGAAAGGAGGAGTGTGATGACTCAGTAGGCAATCCCAAATAAAAAGAAATGTGTTTATATTTGTCAGCAATGTAGTGAATGTGTAAGTAGCGAAGTTTTTGCAAGAAAAGAAAATATCCTTTTGGTATCCAGACAAAGTTGTTAGCTCTGTAGTAATTTTGTAGTAACTGTATAGTGGCACTGGAAAAAACAATACAAGACATCAAAGCAATACAATCTTCTTTTACAGAATCCCATCATAACACTTGTTTTATTCCCAGTGCAGGAGATGGTCTTCGTGAATGTTTATGCTAGCTGCTATGTGAAGGTATTGAAACCCTTTGCAAACAGTAATTCATTATGCTTCACAGCTGGCTGAAAAATACTTAATGCGTTTTACACGTGATAAAACTTGAGTGGCTGACAGTGGCTTCCAGCTACCTGGAAAATGACTGGAAGTGTTGAGAGGGGTACCTGGCCATTCTGACAAGAGTGTCTCTCTCTGCCCTCCAAAATTGAGCAGTATCAAGTTTCTTTATAACCCTGAATTTTACCCTAGGCTCACAATACTTTAGCAGATTTGGGCTGAAGTAATTTGTACAATCTGCTCTCCTTCCATCTGCTAGGAGGATTCATCTGGCAATTACTCCAGGCTGTGGATTTTTTCTCATTCATTATCTTTCTCAATGACCTGCCAGGGTCGCTTCTTGAATCCATTTCCTCAGGAAACGTAGCCCTCTTTCCCAAGGTCTTCCCACATGTATATTTTCTGGGGTCTCCGGTGCTGGTGTTTTACCTACTGGAATTGGAAATTGCCCTGAAAACTGGAGGAAGGAAGCACTGCAGAGTTTGTTGAGGCCAGAGCAGAGGCTGGATTAGGTGGCTCCAGAGACCTCTTCCCATCGAACTTTAATTCTGTGGCTCTCTTAATAGGCAGCTGAACTGGAACAGGGAATATTTGCCTTTCTTGCTGAATATTGGAAGTCAAGGTTGGAGGGAGGCAGAGCCTTCTGAAGGTACTGGCTGACAGAAGGTGGCCCTCCAGAATACCCAGGAAGCGAATCCTTGGGATGCAAGGAGCAAAGAGATGGTTTATACAGATGGGGCAGTGGAGAAGAGTGAAAACTGAGTCTTCTGGCAAAACTATGTGCTCTGCATTAATAGCCAAAAATACTAGTTTCTTCACACCTAGGCTCAGCTCCTCACCAACCTGCTGTGACTCGTACAACTCCGTATTTATGTGCAAGGGCGTTTGCAGCAAGTGCTCACTTCTGTTTGCATGTTTAGGTCTAGCAAGATTTTTGATTTTTTAAAAAAAATAAGCAGGAAAACAGGTTGTTGTGCAGTAAAGTGGTACCTTTAAATGATGAGATGAACTATTTCAATTTTTTTTTTTTTTCAGTTTTGTTACTTCATTTTTAACCTTCAATAGATTTAATCAGGACCGCAATTGAGAAACGAATGCTTTCTTCTGGCTGCTGCTTAGTTGAGTCCATTGAAGTAAAAAGCTCTGGTACATTTAACTCACGTAGCTGCCTTTCACTTTAAATATTGATGTTAAGTGCATTTCTTCTGCATCTGAATTAATCTCAACATTAGACCTATGTAATTGGAGACATGTGGTAATAAAGTGCTAGCCATTAGAGCATCGCAGTAAATATCCCCTGCAGCCTCCAGGATGCTCATTTCCCCTGCTCCCTCCTGCAACTTCAACTCCTTCCTTCCTTTCTTCCTTCCTTCTTTCCCTCTTGGACACTGTATCTGAATTTCTTACCTTCAGGTTTCTTGGCCCCTTGCAGCCACGGCGCATTTGCAGATCTCTCTGTGATATCATGCTGGGTTGGAACTACAGTCGTCGTCTTGCCGCGTAGTGACTGACCAAGCAGTTGCTTATATCTGTTATCATCTGCATCAGCAGTGTCAAACCCATTTCTGCCAAAACGAATGAGCTGTAGCAGTCGTTGTTAGTGCTGTTAAAGTAGATTTATTATAACAACGAAGTAACATGAGCAAATGTAAGTCAACATTGGGTACTTACCCTGAATGTAAACTCTTTAGAAATCACGAGGAGGTTCTGGTACCATACGTACCAGTTCTGCTGCTGCCCTGGGAAGCAGTGTTCTCTGCCTCTCATCCCCGGCATATCTGAACCCTTTTGTCAGGACTAAGGCTCTAATAGGTCAGAATTGCTTTGAGAATGGTGCTTGAGCTCCAGTGTCATTTAGGCAGTTTTAAAACTTCTCCCCCATCATGTTTCTCTTTAGAAGACAAGCTGTTTTCCTCCAGCTCTACCAGGCACCTCTTCTCTTGACTCTTCTAGACCAAGCAGGAGTTACCACATTTGTGTTTTCCAAATCTTGTTTATATTTTTCAGCCATACACATTTTTAAAAAATGTTTTTTCCTTGTTTCTACTATGTGTTTTATTGTCTTCAGGTAATTTGTTACTAATGCAGATTAATCCTTCAATTAATTATTGTCCATTAGTTATGTGGCTTCTAAACCTCTCCTCTGCCCTCCGCCCAAAACTAGCATAACAGTTTCACAGTTACAGTTTTCTTATGTTTTCTTACTTTTTTTTTTATGCTATGGCTGTATTTAATCTGGGAAAAGATAAGAGTCAGGCTGTGGGGCAGTCTGACAGAGGTTTTGGTAATGAAAGGATCCTTTTTTGCACAAATGTTCTTCCTGAGAGCAGTGAAGCTACTTGTGTGATAAGGTACAAAAACTACATAAGGGTTGCAGAGTCTGTCCTGCCTTGACAGTTATTTAATTGTAGCAATGAATATTATTTAGTACATAATTATAATAGTAGGAAAGATCCAAAGCCTGAGTCACAGACGTAAGCAAGTAGCAGTTCTCCTTACCCTCCATGGACATTGTCCTCCCTTGTGCCCAGGCTGAATTATGTTCTTGGTGTCATCGTGTTTGGTGATGCAGAACCTTCATCATCCCTTAGTCAGAGGAACCAGCTGCCGCTCATACCCCCATGAAGTGTTGTGGCACAAGCTGCGTGGAAGACCTGGTAGTGAACCCGTATTAGGCAAGCTTCTTTGGCCAGGGTTTTTATTTTTTTTTTGTTACAAATCTGAAATTCCTGACAAATTTACTGAAAGCATTAATCTGTTTCAAGGGAACCATAAATGATTGACGGTTTCACGTGTGAGTTAGACAAGTAATTGATGATGATTGCTGAGTTTTGCTTTGAGATTTGGGTTCAGTTAAATGTGACGCTTGCAAAATTCATCACTGAATACAGCCAGGGAAGCGAAAGCAGGAAAGAAAAAAGCACAATGCAATGCCTTGAGAACATGGGGTGTGTGCGTGTTTCTCCTGCAAAGTATGGCAGTGGCATTTCTAAGTGGTGCAAATATACAGTCGAAAAGGTGGTTCGACTCAAACGAAAAAGATGGGGAGTGGCATGTTGAACTCATTTGCCTTGGACCACAGTCCATGCCAAACACCTAAGAACAGCCGTACCCATTCAGACTAAGGGTCCCTCCACCCAAATATATCTTCTCCCGCTTTGACCATAAAACGAGTGCTGGAGGAAACAGCATATATGACATCTCTTCCCAAACATACCAAAACTTGACCCCAAGTATCAGCGTAAACAGTTTGGAACAAGACTTTTGAACAAAACAGCCATGTTGGTCCTTCGTGTTCTGCATAATCCAGACTTGCTGTGTCAAATTTTTTCTGAAGTACAGTTTGTTGGACCGTTTCTTTTCCTCAAGTTTTCAGTTGTGTTGGAAATAGAAGGTGGGTGTGGTGTCCATCAGCTACACAGACCATCCCAGCGCTTGTTTGATTTACCATTTTGTTGTTACTCCACAGTTTGAGATGCTGACGGGATCGTTACCCTTCCAGGGAAAAGACAGAAAGGAGACAATGGCACTCATTCTCAAGTGAGTACTGAAACTGCTTACATTTCTCTAACTATCAGTTAACTGTACCCTCCGGGCAGCCTATAGGTCCTAAGTATATGAAGGGTAGAGAATACTAATGTGCATAATGCATTTTTCAAAGCTATGTAAGGCATGAATTTGGCAAGGCACACAGAGCTGATGCCTGCATGTGGCTCTAAAATTGCCTTCAGAATAAATAGTAGCAAGTGAATTACTGAGAGGGCCTTACAAAAGAAATGTATCTTACTTTCTGTAATAATGTCATTATCCATAGAAAAGTGGAAACAGTCAAATTTCTGCAGGATAGCTTACGTTTTGTGGTTGCCAAGTTTCAAATCTTTTCCTTTGCAAATTTCCCATTCATTTAACGTTAAGTGCAGGCAGAAGTATTTCAATCTTATCTTTGCTCAATATTACATTTTTCTCTGTAGCAGTGAATCGCCAAGGGAAAAGTTTTATTCTCTTTAATCAATATATAGTTTAGTATAATGATTTTCATGATGTTTTGTTTGTTTAAATTCCTCTTGATTCCCAAATTTACTCAAGCAAGCTGAAAAAGTGAAAAAAATCTGCAGGAAAATGACTTATTTAGGTTGCAAAAGGTGTTATGAGATTCATTAGATCTACTCTACCTCTAGTGAAGCCAGTGGTGAAACCTTCTTTAACTTCAACAGAACAAGATCAGGTCCTCACTCTGTATTGCATTGTGCTTAGGTAGCCTTTGGTCACCAAATTCATGTGTCTGCCCATCCTGGCTGCTACAGTTCTACTTTTTAAACCACAGTGGGATGGAGAAAATGTTTGAAAAATCTATTTTCTTTTCAAGTGTTGTGTTCTTTCAGAGCCAAGCTGGGAATGCCGCAGTTCTTGAGCATAGAAGCCCAGAGCCTGCTGCGAGCCCTCTTCAAAAGGAACCCTTCCAACAGATTAGGTACACGCACACATTTGATGGGGTCATTTGTTATGAGTGCTCTGCCGTGTCCAGTGGTGATCGTTTCTCCCCATGCATCTTCCCTGATAGATATCCTCTTCGATATACGGCATTTTGCATTCTTTCCCAGAGCACAATGAACCTTGAGTGTTACTAGAGAAATTTGCAAAAAGCACAGGCAAACCATTGGAATCTAAACCATGACATTAGCTTGTATTTTATTTTTTCAGTGACGAGGGAGAGTAAACTGCCAGCATTTATGAAGGGTTTAAGATAACTGCTGCATATGGTAATATAGGGAACTGAGAAACAGGTATCTTTTAAAATCTGTGTAATTTAGCTGCGAATCTGAGGTGGGAAGCAAAAGAGAGTAGAATTTTTCTCTCCCATTCTTAAATACGTTCTGTTTTCTGGGAACATTTTCACAGTAGTCTTTCTTCTTTATTACCCTAAATGTATTATTTCCTTTCTTACTAGTGTGTTTTCACCCTTTGTTGATAATCCTATTTAACTTGTGATAAACTGGAAGTATGTATTGGATCATGTGTCTTATGCCATCTGTACCTTTTTGGAGGAGTTTTATTAAGAGATTCATTGCATTTGGTGAGATCATGGACAACGCCTGGTGCATGATGTTCATTGCAAATTTGGTCTTTGGTTTTTACGTGGAAAAATAAGAAGAGTTATATCAAGTGAATGATATAAAGATAATAGCACTGTATTGGTTTTAATTTAAAAATCATATCTAGTTCTGTGGAAAATTTTGGAGGTTTCTTTTTTCCCCACAGCTCTCATTTTGCATTTTGGATGAATAGGGGAAGAATTTGCTTCTAAAGGAAAGGGACAAACCTAACCTTCATACCTCTGTTGGGTTTTTTGTGATCTTAGGAGCAGGAATTGACCTTAGGAGCAGGAATTTAATCCGTCAATTCTGTAAACTCTATCACAAGAAGAGAGCTGATGGGTCGTATTTAAATATGTGGTTGACCATCCGTGGGAGTTTTGGCAGCTAATAAATGACTTGTCTTTTAAAGAATGGCATAGACTGGTTAAATACTGAGACTTGTGAAAAGGAATTTGCTGTTCCCTTTTGCAACTGTTTACGCTTGTAAGATTATTTTGGATTGGAGACGTAAAGTTAGTAGCAAAAAGCTAAATTAGGAAATGGCTTGTTCTGAGATGTGGAAAAGAGCAAGAGGTGCAAGAAAGGTTTCTTTCTTTCCTTCTTGCAGTACCCAGCCTCACTTCTCAAATGCTGGAGGTGGTGCTGCCGAAGGTCTGCCGCACACCGCTCTTGGTCCTCGGCACAGCAGTCACGGCATTAGCGGGCGGGCTGGCGGCAGAGCACGAGGCATTTGACAGCCCACTTCCATCACCGCCTGCCTGGGCAATGGGTCCTGCAGTTTCGAATAGGCACACGTGGGTGTGCATGCACACATGTGGAAGATGGACACTCTGCTCCTTGCCCTTGAGCTTCTGCTTGACCTTTTCATGCTCTGGTAGCTCTGTCCCTTCCTTCAGGTGGGGCAGCGTGTGGGCTACGCCAGCCCTCTGCTTTATACTGAGCATCATCAGACTGTCACGTTTTAGGTGAATTAATGTTTTCTGCCTGGCTGCAGCAACTCAGCCGGAGCCCCCAGCTGAGATGTTTTTGGAGAGAACCTGGCTCCTGCGGACAAAGTACAGAGCAGGCTGCCGACCGCTGCAGCTGCTGGGGAGAGCAGGAACCGAGAGCCCTTGCTGCACACGGGGACCAGGGGACAACCCGACCTCCCGCAGGGCTGGGTGGGAATGGGGACCCAGTCCCTCAGCACGCTGCTGTGACCCCTCTCCTCCCAAGGGGATGCCCACATGGCCCACGGAGGGAATGCCCTCCCATAGGTTTTACCTCTTGCCCTAAAAGGTAGCTTTTGTAGTCTGATATGCTGTAGAGATGATAGTGGAAATACACATTTTCTCAGCAGGTTTCAATTGATCTTAAGCAACTTGCTTGACGTTAGAGAAAATTAGAGTCTTGGGATTTCTAGGTTTAATCTATGTTCAGAAAAATAAGATGCTGCAGCAAATATAAACTTTTTTCCCACTCCCTCCCTCTGTTCCTTTCTGCTGTTTACTCCCTGGCTCTGTCTCTTGGTTTTGTTCTGCTCTGCTCATTTTGTGGCTTTCCACAAGCTGCTACCCATCCAAAATGGGGCTCCAGTGAAGTCAGTGGGAGTTTCTGGATACTGGTCCTTAAATACTGACTAAAATGAGCAAAGTTGCTTAGTTTTAGCTGTGACAATTTTAGCCCTCATATTGTCTCCCTTTTAATAATGGAGAATTGCTGAGGGTCAAGGTTTTAAACCTGAGGTTTATTGAAATACTGGGAAGTCTGGGAGAAAGGAAGAGGTTATTTATAACACAATCATCCAAGGAAATAAAATCTAAATCAGTAACAGAAAAATAGATGTTAACATTTCAGGGATAGTGGTGGAAACCTTCTGAAGGCGCTCTCTGTTTTAAATGATTGAGAATCAGCATGAAGGACAATGAAACCAGATTTGTTGGTAATGAAAGAAGGAATACTTAAATGGTTGGCCTAAATACTGAACATAAGTCAGTAGATAAAAAGACTGCTTCAACTTCGTGGATTTTAACTTTTTCTGGGAAAGGAATAATAGTCTGAAGTTAAAAGAAAAGCAGGTTTAGACATCCAGTTTTGAAAAATCTTTGGAAAATAAATGAAGCGTGCTAAAATAACTGAACCGTATTATGGATCAAACACTTGTTTCAGCCATGTTTTCAGAAGTTTGCAAATCTGGAAAGTGTATTTAGTTCCAAAGTGGTTTTAATGTTGGCAAGATGAAACATGGTGAGCTTTGAAAATTACTTTATTCTGACTACCATCTTGCTTTTTGTCATTTGATTTTGATATCTTAACAAATAGAAGTAAAGATTGATGATGTATTCTAAAATTTTGCTTTGAAACTTCTTTTTGAAGCTTTGGATTATTAATGGAAAAAAATATTAGAGTTGAAGGGAGATAGTCAGACGAGGCAGATAAGAAATTTAGTAATCCAGTTTACCTGATTCTATTTTTAATTCTGGTGCCTGTAGTAATGCTTTAGAACAAATTTTTAAGGAATGGAAAGTCTTCCTTCCTTTGGCATCCCTTGTTATGGGCACTATCTGTTCTCTTCTGAGCCTATTCATTCTGCTATATAAACAGTCTGCCTAGCACTGCTTTGGTAATATTGCTCTGATTAAGTACAACAAATTTCAGATTATGGACAAGTGTAATTTTAAACTCTTAAAAGAAACTAACTGGAATATCAAGGCAAACAAGGAGTAAGCATCCTGGAAAGGAAATTGTACAATGAAAGTGTTAGTTCAATACATTCCCAGGAACTTAGGCAAGGGACTAATTCTTACTTGCCCTAAGGCCTGGATCTGCTCAGGTAGGTAGATTAATGTAAAGAGCATTTCGGGAACTCCCTACACTGCTGAGCAGTATAAAGATTCCAAAGTCCTTGTAACTGAGAAGCTTGGTCAAGAAAGTATAAAGGAAAAGCATACACCAGTAGATTTAGAGCAAAAGCCAAAGAAATAGTTATTATTTCCTTAATCCCATGCTCTCAGAGAAGATACATTCTGCTTTGGCACACAGAAGACTTTGGTTTTCAATTTTATAAGATGATGGGTTTTAAAAAACAAGTTTCACCTTTGTCAAAGTAACTGTACATCTTTCTTGTAAACCTTAGGAACACATTTCAAAAAATCTAAGGCACTAACAAGATTCTGAAGCTGTGGAGACACTAAAATTTTATTATCTGAAGCGAAAAATCTGGAAACTCTTTCTGCTCATTTTGAATAACCAAATAATCAACTTTCAAATTTCATAGGTCTCCCTTTTTCCCCTTAATATATTTCAAGGGGAAATTGTCCGTAATGATTCAACAATCGAAACCAATTACAAATAAAACATTCTACTGTTACTGCTCACAGACACTTTTACTACAGGCATAAACCAATCTTAGATAATCAAGTTCTTGCTTATTAACATGAGGCTGCTTTTGTATAAATCCTTGAGCTCTATAATGTGTTTAAACTGTCAATTTGATCTGAAAGCATTGTTTATCTTCTCGGACCCTCGTGGGACTGGATGGCACATAGGAATATTTGCAGGCAGTAGGTTTGATTGTGCTGATTATTCTTTACAGATAGGTTTGATTACTAAATTGAAGTTAAAGCAAAGTCAAAAAAACAACTAGAAACCTAGAGGAAGGTTGAAAGGTTTGCGGTTGTGTGGTGTGCCATCACAGGCTGCACTTCAGCAGTTTGCCAGATACCCATCTCTGTGCCAAGAAATGTCCGTCCCCATGAAACAGGACTTTCCAGTTACGACCTCTCCAGTGCTTCTCTTTCCTCCATGAAAGCACCTGTCCTTCTAGCACCACTTTAGATTTGCAGATAGTAGATGAATGGCTGAAACACGCTGAGCAAATCCAGAGAGACTCCACCATACCACCGGTGTCTAACCTCTCCCGTGGACTTCTGCAGCGGGGTCAGGGTTGTCCCTCTGGGCCCCCAGAGCTGTCCCCAAATGTGCCCTTGGGCCTCCTCCTGCTGAGGAGAGGACCAGGCCCCACGCCGCTGCCGGCAGCCACAGCACATGGCCCGAGATGCTATGCCAGCAGGTCTGACGGCGGGGAAGGTCAGGGGATAAAAACCTGCAGGAAGCGCTGAACCTTCTCCAAGACATAAAACTGGTTGCTGGGAATTGGAAGTCCTTCCCTCTTTCCAAAATCAGGCTATTACCATTCTAAATCTCTTTAATACATTAAGCTAAGCGGAGATGGAGTCAAGCCCTGGCACTCCTAACAACGTGTTCCTCCTGTGCTCTGAGGTGGCCCCCAGTGGGAAATGCCAATTTTTCAAACAAATTCCTATGTCAACTGCATGCTGCATCCCTTACTGCACACTGCAGTCCCCTGCTAAGAGAAGTAGCTGCGGGTGGGCTTCTTCCTTGGTCCTGATTTCTGTGGTTTTGTGGAAAAAAGAACAACAACAGTAGCAAAAAGTGTGGTTTTCAAATAGATCATCTGAAAAAGTCAGGTCATTCCCATCACACAATGATGTACCCATAAGCCTAGGAAAGAGGGAAACAGTGGGGAAGGGACAGAGGAGATGGCATGCATGAGCAGCTATCCTCAGTCTAGGGAGTGCTACCGGTAGCTGACAGTGTCCGTAGCGTTTATCCCAGTCCTTCAAAATCAGTTTGGCACTTGGGTTTCATCCTTTTGTAGCAAAGAACATCTATGGCACATTACAAAGTTTCCAGTCACCACCACCAAACACAAAACATTTTTCAGATATTTCTTCTCTGAAGGGTTGCTTAACGTAATTTGTTTCGGAGTAACTGTGTTGGTTTCATGTTTCTGTCGGCATTGCTAAAATCAAAATGAATCTGCCAAAGGGATCTAGTGCAGACTTTAGACTATGCCTTGAAAAAACATGCCAGGGAAGACATTGAACAAGTCTTATTACTATCTAAGTCTTAGTATTATTTTGTTTGGTACCCACAGGCCATAAACAACTGCCTAGGAAAGAGCGCAAACAGGGTAAGCATGGGTGATACTTCACCCAAATTCTCTCCCAGTCTACACCTGCTTTAAGGACAAGCAAAGGGTTTTTCCTGAACCTCTTGTGGTTTATCAATGAAGTAATTTTCAACAGATTTTTTTTCAACACGCTTTTCTGGCCTTCCCCTGAACCGATATAAATATTTTGCATCTGCATCATTTTTTCCAAGGAATTCCACATCACACAACTATTTGTTGCCTGTGGAAACATCTCCAGGTTGTTCTGAACCTGATTCCTGCTAGCATCGTTTAATGTCCTGTCGTAAACCTCCTCAGTCATCTGTTTCCAGGTTGAAAAGTCCAGGCCTACTCAGTCATTCCATACCATTCCTTGTTGACCTTCTTTGATTTCTCCTACCTTTCCTAAGTATACCCTTTTATAGGTGAAGGTGTCAACTACATTCCCTACTCAAGTTGTAGGTGTACAACAGGCTTCCACAGTAACAATGTAATGATATTCTCCCTTTCGTCCTCTTTTCTCTTTCCAAGATTTCATGCTGTGTTTGCCTAGAACAGCCTGTCATAGCCCAAAGACCTCACTCCTCAGTGGGGCTGATCACCTCCGAGCACATCATTTTGTATGGCGGGCTAGGTTTGTTTATCCTCATGTGCGTCACTTAATTTGTCTATACTGTGAGATTACCAGGATGGGGAAGTAATCAGAAGAACATTCCTCTTGTATTATTATCCAGCAGGTCTGACAAACAATCCTGCATGTTATGTTCATAAAGTGTTTGCTTTTTGTATCCATTCATCAGTGAATGTTAAGCAGACTGTAGGAAGCCGTTCCTGACCGGTGCATTTTGGCAAACATCGATAATGTCTTGTACACAGGGAGAGCAGATGTCACATTTTACAAAAGCTTGAGTTGACAAGACCTTTCTAAAGCTGCTTGTAATGTTGATCTCCAGAAAGTACAAATACAGCATGTAAAAAGCTGAGTCCTCTGAGGTGCTGAGTGTCTTTTGCAAGGTGCTTATGAATCCCAAGTCCTTTTGGGAATCAGGGATGCTCAGCAGCCTCGTAAATAAGCGCTGGGTACTTTTCAGGATCTGGTTCCAAAATTGCAATGCAAAGTCTTTGCTTCCAGATGTTATTTCTCCTATTGGAAAATGAAAGATGCTATTAATAAAGTCAAATCAACCTCAAAAATGGCATATTGAATCATCTCTGACAGTTGTTTAATTATTACTGAGCACCTGTTGGTTTTCGCAACAGCACTGAAGCAAATAAATCGAGCTAAAGGAATAAAAAAGGCAATCTTCAGTGAAGACATAAGGCAAAAGTAATGAAGGAACTCTATTCGTTACCAGATCTCAGAAAAGTGTCCCTAAGTAGAAGGGCTGCTGCTGGTGTCAGGGAGCAGCAGTAGCCTTGCCATAGCATCGAGACATCTTGGGGCATCTCCTGGCCTCGCTGGTGTTTGCACTCTGCTGCGGCTCTCATCTGAAGCCTGAAGAGAGCAGCTATTCAGCCTTGGCACCAGCCTCAATTAGAGAAAAATCAAACACCCTCAGCCATTGGATTTTCATTAATGAGGTGCCCTTGTCTGTATTTATGGTAGTTTATACTGTTATGGTAGTTGCAGTGTTCAGGGCTTCTTGACTAGAAGAAATGTCTGGATGGTGACTCTGACTTTATCAGAAGAAAAGGGGATGGGGAGGAATGCTGGAGAAGAGATGTCACGCAGCACTCTTTTAAGCATGAGCTCATTTTGATTCTTTCATTCTCTTGTCAGGTGCTGGGTTCGATGGAGTGGAAGAAATTAAACGTCACCCTTTCTTTGTTACTATAGACTGGAATGTAAGTGGAGCAGCATTTTATTTTTTTATTATTATTATTTTTCTTAGCCACATTTTTTTGGACAAACTGCTACACTTAGAAAAAAGATGAAGTGAACTCTAACATGGACAGCCCAGAGCCTTTTAAGTATGTGCCTATATGTCTTGCCTATGTATTTGGCAGTGTTAGGTTTACGGTTGGACTTGATGATCTCAAAGGTCTTTTCCAACCGAAATAATTCTATGATTCTATAGATACCTTTGTTCACATACCCACAAATGAAAGAAATAGAAAGCAACTTTCAGCATTGCCAGTTTTTTCTAACTGCTTGTATTTGGTTTGTCTGATGGTCTGGCTCATCATGGTACTACCTGAGGCTTTTTGCAGTGTTCTGCAGGATAATTTCCACATTCAGCTGTAATAAATGTGATGCGTTGATTGTGGGAGCTGGACTGGAGTGAAAAATGAGCAGCTTTAAATGAAAGAATTCCTGTAATATTTCAATGGCAAAAGAAAACAGAGCCAAAGGACTGGGCTTGAAAGAGCTACTCCAGAGGGAAGTGGTCTGATGCTCTAGGTCCCTCCATGTTTCTGCTTTCATGTTCCCTATTGAAACACTCGTCCCTTCTCACTGGGTTGGGCAAGCTGGACCAAATGCTAGTTTTATTCTTCCTGATATCAGGGACCTCCAGGAATCCCTTTCTCTCTTGGAATGATTCCGAGCAGCCCCAGGTCTGCTCTGACACATCTGCTGACACGAGCTCCAAGGAGCTCCAAGACCTCCAGGCGCATCCATTCCCCACCACAGCTTGATGCTACTGGGACTCTCTGGGTATCCGTGGAGCTGGTACGGCAGGCTGTACAGCAGATTGTGCTGCTTTGTGCTGGGGGAATCATAAATCTTCCAACAGGATAGCTTTGTTAAACCCTTCTTGTCACTTTTGGCCCAAGTGGCCATAGGAGATGATCTGGCCCTTCCTCTGTATTGCAATGGGAGGTACAGAAAAGCAGAACGTAGATGGATTTTCAGAAGAGTGATTTTACATCACTGAGTATACAAGTCAACCAGGCAGAACAGGAAACAGCAGCTCCTCTTACAAGTGGCTGATGTTTTATTGAGGTGAGTCATTAATTTGACATCAACACTCAAAATTGGAACAGCAAACATTTGATCAAATCTAACATGGTTCAAATAAGACATGTCTGACATGATTAACAGAGTGGTAAACAAGCTTTTATTTTATTGCCATCAGCTACCGCTCATAAATCTGGCAGTAGAGATTAGCTAAGTATTCTATTTAGACCTGCAACAGGTTAAACCTCCTCACATTTTCAGCGTCATGTTTGTTCAAATCCACTTACTTTTTTAGGCACACCTGGAAGACATCTGCCAGTGCATCAGAGCTCCTGTTTGCCACATCCTCTAGAATTTTCTACTTCAATTTTATCTGTCCTGTGTTATGGTATTGTTATGTCTCTTTAATATTTGATCTGAATTCACTGATGAACGCTAGTGTAACAGGTCACGTTGATGCAGTTCTCCCTATAAATTCTGGTAAAACAGCATGAATGTGTGTGACAGAGCCATTCTCAAACCACTGCCCAGGGCTTTACAGTAAAGCTAATTCCTCTGTGAAAGCACGTTTTGTGGTGCCTGGGTGACCTTGGAAAGGCCCACAGAGACATTTATTTTGGAAAAACTCATGAATCTAATTTGAATTACATGTTGAAGATTTGGTATGACTCATAAGCACATCAAGAGGTGATCAATGAAAGTGGAGTTTGAGATTTTCCTTTATGGTCCAGCTGACTTTTAGTTCCATTACGTGTTCTAGAGTCTAGATTCTCTTTCCTCTTCTGCTTTTTACTAATTATGAGATTCTGTAAAAAGACTTTAAGTTTATGAAATCATTAAGCGAAAAGAAAAAATAGAGAATCCTGAAGAGTTGGGTTCTGTTATTATTAATTATTATTATTGTCTGCATTCCTCTGATATCGCCACAGCCTTCAGCTTTGCAATCAAAATACAGGTCAGGTGCCTACATCTTAACATAATAAGGAGCACTGGAGCAGTGAGAGGGTTTCTGCTTTTTCTGTGTTTGCTAGTGGAGCAGCTCAGTAACTCATCGCAGAGAAATGAGGCTCTGCATCTTGGAAAGGTTTTAAGAGAAGTCAGTTCTGGACTGTAAGACTCCTCGGGACCACCTTCTCTCATGATGATTGGTGATTTTTTCAAGCTCAGTTTTTAGGGAAAAATTTCATGCCTATCCTAAGGAAATTGTACAGTCCTTCACTATTTGGAAAAGTTCTTATGGACGGGTTAGGGAAATATCTACCATGAAGAGGCTAGGTATGCTTGAACATGACTTGGAGCTAGAGAGGAAGGTGGGTTTAACTGCCCTTTGATGTCTTATTTAGCCCTCTAGCTTTGCTGTAAGATGTAGCTGTAGAGATCTATTTTAATCTAATATAATTAGTGCTTATTGCACTCTCTTGGAGACAGATGGATCATTATTACACAGATCAGCTATCATCTTTGTAAGATATTTGCTTATTTAATCCTAATTTTACTATCGTTTATGGAGAACTTGGGAGGCTTATCTAGCTACAGCAGCAGTATTGCACACATTTCAGAGCGGTGTGAGCCAGCCTGGCCCTGAGCTGAAGCCAGGACTTTGCCTTACAATGATCATCCATCCAACCGTTAACGTGTTCTCCATGGACAGAAACAGCGCAGGGTCAGAGAACAGAAAGGGATCAGGCACAGGTGTTTGGTGCTGATCTCTGTACAGTTGCAGGAAAAGAGTCCCCGATGCCCTCGTTTTGTTCTCCCATCACGTATACAGAATCTCTCACATCAATTTGCAGGCAGTCAGCAAACAACATTGCTGAGGCAGGACATTGATTTATTTTATACCTTGGTAACATAAAGACCTCAGAGCACAAGAGGCAAGCTTTTTTGGAGAGCTTCTGTACTACCTTGGCTGCTATGACAGACAGGACTGCTGTGACTGACAGCGTAGAAACTTTCAGCAACTGCAGTAAAATGATCCTCCGTCACGTGCCCCCTTATCACGAAGGGTCAGAACGGGTTAGTGTCTTGTAGAAACCCAGTGTGAAACAGGTCTTTTTTTAAGCAAGATTTTTCCTACAAGAGTGACATGATAACCGGGAACAAAGCACCAAGTTGCTTCATCTAATTTAAAAAAAAAGATTCAAACCAGAAGTGAGTTAGCTGCTTCCTTCCAAGCTGTGTGTGAAGCCTAGACATCGCAGTGATGAAGTCATTAGAACCGTAGACAGAAATGTGTAAATCGGACTTTCATTTCAGAGATTACGTCAGAGCTATTCCCTTGGGTTTTGGGTTGGGGCTTGGTTATCGTCTCCATTGCTGAAGTGTTTACCTGCTGGAGCAGTCGTTTCCCGCTTGGTTCCCATCTTTCACTGTCTTCAAACAGATGCAACCAGCCATAGTGTCTGGTTCGGATGAAGGCAGCGAACACAGTGAAAACAACATATGCAGCATAAAAAAAAAAAAAAAAAGCCCCTTGTTACGATGCTGAGGATGCTCCTGCCAAGCCCAGCGGTGCGGGGAGCGTATGGCCACTGCCAGCAGAGGCAATAGGTGCAATGCTGGAAAACAGGAGTGTGGCCAGAGAATGACTGTCCTCCTCCCATCCTTTCCGAGATGCCGTTCCCACGTTCCAGGGTTCCATTCTTCAGCACAAATCTCCAACCACCCTGGGTTTAATTTCTGATGTATAAGTAGCACTAAATGAACTGTGGACAATCTGACACAGAGTTTTTATGCCCAGACTTAAATGGTGGCGTGAGCTAATCTCTGTAAGAGTCTCGTTTTTACAGCTATTGTCACCCAGCAACAAAACCCTAAATTCCCACTTCCCAGGGTGAAAAATAGATGAAGGTTTCTGCAAATATCAGTCCTACTGCTCTAAGGCATTTAGTAGGCACTGTGACACAAATTCAGTAGATCCTCTGTTAAATGAATGGACTGTCTTTCATGATCAAGGCTGCGATCCAGAGGAAGGAGATTAGATGTCCAACTCCTTCTGAGTTTTACCTGCCTACTACCCTTGCACCCTCTTTGCTACCTAAGACAAGCAGATCCAAACCGAATTGACCTCAGATGATTTCAGTCATTGGATCTGAGAAAGCACAATCCGGTGCCTGATTTTTATTTTTTTTTTACTGTTTCTTCTTTCCAGGTCATGCATAGTTTCTGCCTTTTCATTGAAACTGAAAAATGAAATCCCTTTTTGCAGACTGCAGTTGGAGGAGCGGGCTATAAACTGTAGTTTTTGTTTAGATGAAAGAATAAATTGGAACTAGAGCAGATGACATGCTAGAAAATGAACTGTCAAAAACAGCTGAGGGAAGGAGTGGGAAGAAAGTGGACTCAACTTCTATTTCCTTCAATATTAATCAGAGATCAAACTAAACTGAAAATGTGAATTCTTTAATTGCAGATTTTTACCAACAGCAAGAATTGATCCCAAGGTCTGAATTCTGCTAGCTTTTCTATCATTTGCAGGCAATAACATTGAGTCATTAATCTAGGAGAGGACAACATTTTAGAAGGTAGTTCATCCTGTTGTCTTCTTATTGGATTTTCCATGACAGGTATATGTATCAAGGGAGTTTATTCTCACACTACAAGTACATCGCTGTGGAGGGTAGCATCTTTCTATTTCTAGAAGGTGTCTAAGGAATAATTCAATTCTTCATCAAAAGAAACTCAGTTGAGGAAATGACTAAATAGTTTTTAATTAAATTAAACCATTTTTTTTCCTTGATATTTGCCAGGCACATGTACAGGGCATTTACATCTCTGGGTTTTTTTAGGAGTGCATTTTTTTAAAGATGATGAAAAACTAACTGCTTATAAATAACAAGAGACAGATGCATGTTGCAGCATCTTGTTACTAGTCTCCCTGGTGTATTCCTTGAGTCCCAGCTGAGGAGGTCTTCAGATGAAGCTTATCTTGGGGATCTGGCAACATACATTAAGAAAAGATCATTGGGACCTGGGGGAAAATCAGTTATTTAAAAAAAAAAAAAAAAAGTTTTTTGTCCCAAATCAGAAGGGAAGTTGACAGAAGCTCATAGTTTCTCAAACTGCTATAGAGCTGCGTTCTGTTAATTCAAAGGTGTTCATTAATCTGAAGGTACTGATTATCAAAGTCTCAGAATGGTGTGAGGGGCTGATAAGTAGATAGAAGCACGGACACATATCTAGGTGTGAATTTCTAAATCAGTACTTTCACACCTTGGAGTTCACCCCCCTCATTCTGTGGTTTATGCATGCCCTCCGCACAGCCTCGGGATCCAACAGCCCTGCGTGGTGCACAGTGACTCCTGACACCTGTCAGTCAGTTCTGTGATAAGCCAGTGCTGTGGCCAGGTTAAAAAACTGAGGGTGGGATGTGGGGGGTTATTCTTTACTGGGAAAGAGAGAGAAATTGCGTTCTCAATAAACCATTAAGGGCTAAGGAATGCATTTCTCCTTTATGGATGTGGAAGCAATATGGGATAAAAAAAATCTTCAGCTTCTTATGCCTGTGCAAAATAACACACATGTAATGATCTTAAGCACCCAACCTGAAATTTAAATGCTCCAGTTAGCACTAAGATATCCAGAGTCTCTTTCGAGTGCCTAATAAGATGCCCCAAAATAATAATTTGGATATGAAAACTGGGATTTAGACTGGGACAACTGGGACCCTCTTCCCATTAAAATAGGTGGTGGAACTCCCAGTGACTTCTGCACACCGTGCCGGGATTACCATGACTTGGGATGCAGATAACTGTTTTAAACTTTACCAGCAGTTATGTGACAGCCTGATAGAAATGGTCAAAGACAAGATTTGAAACTTCTTGCTATGTCATTTGCCTCTCTGGTTAGGAAGATATTGAGGTGATCCATCAGCCCCAAATAATTTTGGGACCATGGTAAGACACAATAGATTAATACACTTCACCTAAAATTAGAAATACTCTTGGAAAATCCAGAAGGATCTCCAGTCCTCCAAGAGATTTGTTCTCTGTGTATAGAAGACAACGGCTGTGATTCTTACTGCTTGCTTAGATCAGCTTGCGTCACGTTGTGTTTTGCAGTCTACAGGATGCGGGTTTTTAAAGGAAGGAGCATTCTGCCTGCAGCGAGCCTTCGTGTTTGACTGTTGGGCTGCCCTGTGGTTTGGTGTGCTTCAATGAATTGACTTTGCTTGTAGTGGCTCACTCGAAGAGCTGGAGCCAGTGTGGGATGCGAAGGCCCATAGGTGACACTACTCTGCTTGTTCTTGTTCCTCAAAGATTTCATTTAGTTACCTGATTCAAGAGCTTGGGGGGAAAAAAAGAAACAACCCAACATTTTAGACAGTTTCCTTTTTGCTGTTCCTAGTTGTCTAGTCAGAAACAGCAGAAATATTTTTTATCACGAGTGGAAAAGGAAATGGAAAAGGGAGTCATCCGGCTTGCGCTCACAGGAGGTGCCTTTCACTCGCACAAGCAACTTCTTTGTTTGCAGGGCCTCCCAGCAAGCGAATTTGTGATTACACATCTTTAGGTGGTGTGTGACTCATGATGAATCTTAAATCCCTCCCTAGTAGCGGAGGATGTGGGTTAGGGATTCAAAATACAAATGTAGCTCCAACAGCACTTAAGAAACTGCAGATGGGGGGAGGAATTAAGAGGCCAGAGAGAATATGGTTACGATAATCAAAAGAGAGTGCAGTTCCTGAATGATGTACGACTTTAAAACATTTTCCAATTTTTGGACCTCACAGGATGAGAGGTGCATTTAATTCAAGGAGGAAGCACGTGCGTGTGACCGTATTGCTTTCTGCGGTAGGACTGCAGTTGTGAATTAAGACAAATAAAGGGAAGCTGGAAGCAAACAGCTTTCTCAAGGTGAAATCCTACCAACAGAAAAACCTTCTATAGGTGCTGAGTTCTCTTTTAAAGTTCTGTGCAGACAGAAAAAGATAAATGTTAATTACTAGGTTGATACTTTTCAGTTGATGAGTGACACTTCCTGCTTAAGATTGCAATTGGCTTTTAATTATTTGGAAGACTGGCTTTCCATTGTGGCTCACAGCAATTATTCATCTCTTTTTCTCTTGGAAGATACGGAGCAGTTTTACGCAAGCAGGAACTTTTTATGGTGAAATGGCCATTAATTATTGCAGAGTCATTTCCAGCCTCACCATTCCACTTTTCCAAGGAATCACAATTCAACCACAAACATATGCTTTATGCTAATGCTAATACTATGCTACAGAATGTCCTGCCTCAAGAACTTTTATCTATGCAAAATCTAGTTCAAATTATGTTGATATGTATGTATCTTAGGTTTGACCACATGCTTTACATTACGGAAGTTCATTCACCACAACACCCACAATTAAAAAGAATCTTCCTGCATGCAAAGAGCTGGACAAGCATGTATTAATCGCCATTAAATATTTTGAAAAATCAGCTCATTATGAAGTTGTTTTAAGAGCTAACCTGAAAATACGTATTAGAAACAGTCATAAAATTGAACTCTCCAGCTTTTATCTTGACTTGAAAGTTTGGATGCAAGGTTGTGTTTATGCTCTGACATGTTAATTATTGGATGCTGTCTGTGGCAACCAATTCAGCCCTTTGAAACCTGAGAACAAAAGCATTGCTAGAAAGGGAATGCAGTCTAGGGACTGAAACGTGGGGCAGGGAGTCAAACTGGAGCTCTGTTCCCCACGCCGCCATCAGCATGGTGTTCGGTTTTGGCCATTTCAAGCAGAGATGATGCAAAGATGGCTGAAATCAATAGGACTCTTTCCATGAACCTCTGCAGGCTTTGGATCAGATCCAGACACGCTGCACGTCGGTTTGTTCATCTCCCAGAGTGTGTGTGCAAATGCTTGCAAAGGAGCACGGTGTAGCAATTTCTTAAAGATCACTAAGAATGAGTAAAGAGTCCATGTGAAGTCCCTGATAATAAAGGCAGTGTATTAGCATGCATTTACGGGGACTGTTAGGTGATCCCCTTCATCTAATCCTCAGCTGTGAGCCCCTTCCCTTTTACCAGACGAGCCAAAAGAGCAAGTCTCTTGTTTAGGTTGTAAGCACCAGGCAGCCAGGCCTGTTGCTCAGCTCAGTCTGGCAGGGTGTCAAACATATTGCTAGCTCTTGACAAACAATAAATGCTAAAACCGTCACCGCTCCCTAGCCGTTCTTTGTGCTGATTGCCATCGCTGCGCTGCTGAAGTCACTCGTGCAGAGTTCCCTGGCGTTACCATTGCACGTTCCAGTCCTGCCTTAAGACCAGTGAATTTCCAGATGCCTCAGCTGGAACATTGTGCCAGTCTACGGGCTAAAATTTTACCAGAAACATCTCTGTTTATATTCTGGATTCCAGTAACTAAAAAGCACAGGGACCGTCCAGGGCACAGGTTTTAAGCCAACCGGTCAAGCAGGAGTCAGTCTTTTTTGTTGGTCCTGCAAGGATGGCACAGAGCTGAGAGCGAACACCCTGAACAAAGCAGGGGAGCATATCTGCAGGTGCTGAAGGTGTGCAGGTGGTTGTTGATTGTGATCTCTTCTTCTCCTTGTAGAAACTATACAGGAAAGAAATCAAGCCGCCTTTCAAGCCCGCAGTGGGGCGGCCAGAAGACACCTTTCATTTTGATCCAGAGTTCACATCTCGGACCCCCACAGGTTAGTAAGGTGGCACGTGGGTAATGCATCTTTTCGGTGAGTAAATTCATTCTTCCTTCCCCTCCCCGTTCCAATGGCCTGAGCCCCTGTGGGATTACTGGGGTTTGCAATATCTAGCAGAAAGCAAAGACTGTTTTGCATTTCCAAGATAAGAAGCTCACAAGCATTTCACCAACTTCACATTTATTTTTCTTCAGCAAAGATAGATTTCATGTTTAATAGGAAAAATAATTATTGATTTGCTATTTTATTACTCTGATCATTACTTACATTAGCTGAATTTAACTATTTTAAATTACCTCAGCTTCAAAGAACTTTGCATCTCTGCAACTTAGTATATAATTATATATCCCATAGGTGTTTTCTTTAATCATGAAATATCATAAACTATGGACTGCTGGAAGTTAATACGTGGTTAACAGTAATGAAGAATCATCAAGTTCTCAGACCGGCAGAGTTATGCCAACAGGAAATTCGCCCACAATATTTAGAAAATCCTTCAGTTAGAATGTCGTTCCTATACTTTCTATTTCCTAGCAGGAATATCACACTTTGTGCAGTATATGTATAAACATAATTGTTGCACAAAACACTATCTTTCCACTCTTTTAATTGAAAGCAAGAATATCAGTAACCTCAGAGTGGTAATCCCAGTTATAATGTCGCCTCTTGCTAGGTAGGCATGGATAAGCTACGTTACATTTCTGCCTATGATATTCCTGAGTAAAGAAGTACCTATTTATACATTCTAAAATGTAAAAATTTAATTAGCTGTTGTTTGTAAAACATTTTGAAGATGGTCAGCACTGTAAATATCACATAGTATTGTTGCAATGACCAACTATAAGGTCTCAAGCTTCAACCCTCAAATTGCCCCAGAACTGTTGCAGTGAGAGTAAAAGATCTGAGCTTTCATGACAAAAATGCCTGCATTATAGCACGTGAATCGGAGCTGAGGTTTCCTGTAGGTTTCATTCAAGCTCATCATGACCTTCAGCCGCCTTCTTAAAACTAGCCCAAACCTCTATTCAAAGCCTGGCTCAAACCTCCTCTCATGGGGTATGAAATAGTGATGTCTACTCAAAATCTTTTATCAGTCTTGGTTCCTAGTTTTTTTGGCAAGGACGTGCCGACTTTCACAAACTAGAAAAATATTATACTTTGGTTATTTGGGTGCAACTGAAACCTCCACCTCTCTCCAGCACGTTAGTCATGTTCTGATATTCCTGTCCCACTGCATGGAAACAAATGATCTTTGGATACCAGACATTTCACACCCTTGATTTTAGCTTTAAGTCAGGTTTCAAAGGAACTAATTTCTCTGAAATATTGGAGACTGCAAGTTAGTCTGATCTTGAGAGAAGTGAAGGCTGGTGCTGCCCTGGAAAGCCTCAGAAAAGCACTGAGAGTCTGGATTGCTCTGGAATTTCACATTTCGTTGGTTGTACTGGCATGAAAACCCTTGTACTTCATGCATGTGCTGATGCCCAGGGTTGTATTTTACACTCTGCACATTACTACTGTTACCTAATTCAATTTTATATCTCATGCAAGACACTCACTTGGAAAGTTTGTCTTGGGGTGGTGGCTGGGGTGGGGCGATGGCCTGCCTCAATTCTGCTTCATGCTGTTACGGAAAGTGGCCTGAGAATCAAACCCCGTCATTTCAAAAAGGGTGTAATTGGAAGTGTGAATACTTTACACTCCCAGAGGGATAGAAAAGCCCTTGGAGACTGGCAGCATATTTTGCAGCCCCTGACTATGGACTGGTTGGGTCAACCAGAAGGGGAGAACATCACAAGTATTTAATACTGGCTCATATTGCCAGTGGAATCAAACAAGAATCTTTTTTATTTTGCGTTTTTTCTGTTGTGACATAAGCCCTACGCAAACTTACCCTGTTACTGAGAACGTACCCAGACAGAAAGCAGTGCAGTAATTCCCGTTTCATGATGACAATGCAGTAGTGTTTTAGTGAAGCTGTCAGAAAGATATTACCAAGGAGGGGGCACAGATATGTACAGTCATTTTGCAGTCTGTCTTTATGAATGAGTTGTTCTGCCTGGAAACAGGTTTATATCAAAGTTTTGGATCCGGTAACTTGCCAGTCCAGTGATTTGATGTATCCCAGAAAATCTCTTTAGCCTGGAGGTTGAAACAGCGTTCTGCGGATTCCTAATCTCAGCTCTGAGTGTGCCAAAGATGTGGTTTCTGACATTGACAGTTCATCTCTATGGGTACAATTTCACACCACTTTTTCTCAGGAATGTGTCTGAGTTGGAGTCACTTTTTGTGGCCACTTGTTTCCCAAGTCCACCACTGTGGACCCACATCGCATTTGTGCTGACTCAGCTCCTCACATGGAGTAGGAGACTGAAGCAATCCAGGTTATAAATGATGATTTGAACGAGGATGAAACCAAGATGATTCTTGTGCTCCAACTTAGATTTCAGTCTACAAATGCTTATACAGTTGTAAGTGATGGGGCAGCGTGCTGTAACCAGCAGGGATGTATTAGGCTGGCTTTGCTGCTGAGAAAAAAAACATGTAAAATTGCACCTGAAGTATCTAAATATCCTCCTCTGCAAATAAGATAATAACGTTTGCTAACCCCAGGGAAGCACAGTGAAGTAAATTACTTAAGATTTATGAAGCCTTTGAAAATCCTGTAAAGTTAGATGCTCTAGTGGGACAAAGCATTGTGACTTTCACAGGGAGAAAGATAACCATTATACAAGATTGGTGTTTGCAAGTGGGTCTAATTCAGACATATGAAATTATTCTGGATTTATCAAGACTAGGAAAATTATTTAGGTTTCATAGCTATCAGTTAATTAACATGATTTAAACATAATCTTGCACTTAACACAGGTGGTTTGACATTTAATTTGTATGATGGGCATATCACTTGGTAGTGATGAATATTTAATACTGAACACCAAATAATCAGTAGTTCTTCTACAGTGTTTGATAAAGAGATTGGCAGTGAATTATGAAGGAACAGTTATTTTTAAACAGAGATGACCTAGCACTTACGTTTTAGAGCTGAATCACACTTTTTTGAAGTTCGAGAGCGTTCAGGTTTGAATTATTGTCATTCCTTTTTTAAAACAAACATTCTTTCCTCTTAATTAATCCCTCTTGGAAAATCACTGTTGTATGTATGCCATTGTAAGAAGCATCCAGTGATGCAAGAGGTCTGGTGTGATTCATCCATGTATTTGCAAGGAGAGTGCCCATCAATACCCTGAGATAAACAAATAGCCCACGTCATTTTACCAAAAGACAAGCTTCTCCACGTACTTTGCAGCGAGGTCTGACTTGCTGTGCTTATTTCTGACTCCTGTCAAGGCTGAGGTGGCTTTGTAATGAGATACAGAATTAGCTGCAGTCTCAGTTCTATTTATTTCCAAGCAGATAATTTGTTTTTACCATATTCTGGCTTCAGATCCTCCGTTCATTTGACCAGTAGATTTATACAGGGAATGTCCACACAAGGAAATACATTCTCGCATATTTTCAGGACTTCAAGCAATACTCAGTCTTCCACGCCATTGACCTACGCACTAACGGGTGGTGCTGATGGTGTAGGCAGGTGAGTCAGGTATAAGGTCCAGTGGGGGATATATTTTCTTCACTCTAGTGAAATTGGGTTTTTACACACTTCCTACAAGGAGATAGCTTTCTAAAGGAAGTTTAGCTCTGTAACTTTGCCATGGTAAATCACATGTAGCACTGGAGGAAATGTGAAGGAGAGGGGAGGAAAAAAAACAACCCCCAAAAAAGAACAAATAAAAGGTGAGCAAATTTTAGTACCATAGGTTTTATAATCCCCAGCTAGCTACCCAGCTACCAAGGAATGGTTTGCAATGCAGCTCTTTCTTGTTGATGAAAATACCTGGGACAAAACAGACACTGGGGAGAAAGATCTTTTTAACGCTTTTCAGAATTTTAAGTGAAGTGCAATTCTTCTCTTCTTGCTTTGGCATGCTATTTCTCCTACTGAGCGGTGGTGCAGGTACTAGGAACTGCTCTCTAGTTATTTCATTCCAAAGGTAGAATAATTCATGGCTTTTTCAACTCCAGCCATTCCTCCCCTGGATTTGCCACATCAGGGGAACGAATGGGGAGAAAATCTCCATGAAGATTAGTTGAAACATCCGTTGTCCTGTCCTCACCGTCCTGTGCCTTCTCTCTCTGTGCGGACTCCTGGCACAGGCAGTGCTTTCCCTAAAAATGAGCATGCACTGGGAAAAAAACCCCTCTGTATCCAAGAGGAGCGATGCTTACAAACAATACCCCTGCACTGTTCAGATCCAGAGGAAGGGGATGGAGAAGGCACACCAAGACCTTCATATGGAGGTGAATTATACTCACCTGTGTCTGCCAGTTTAGCAGGATCTGCTGTTGACTGGCAGAGGTGACTTTGTCTGTTGCAGGTGCTGTGCTGATCCTTTCTGATCTTTTGTGCAGCTCATGAGGCCATTTTCTTCCTTCTCCTACAGATTCCCCAGGTGTTCCTCCAAGTGCCAATGCTCATCATCTTTTCAGAGGGTTCAGCTTCGTTGCCTCTAACTTGGTGCAGGAGCCTGCACAGCAAGATGTGCACAAAATCACCGTTCACCCAATTGTGCAGGTACCGATGCTGATGTTACACTTCACATTTGTTGGGCAGATATGTATGTGTGTAGTGTATTTAAACTGCCTTAGCCTTCTCTCTGGTATTTCACAGCTACCCAGTGTAGGTAGGAGGTGTTTACATGCAGCATGTAGGAGATGGAAAATGAGAATTTTTTCCCAAAGGCTTTTATCTTTAAGTTCACATTCTCCACAGCCTCACAACTTAAACGAAAAGTACTTCTGAATACCTGAAACACTACTGCAGTTGGGCATACCGGGCAGGTAATGAAATGTTGTTTTTTTCAGGGAATGCAGGTCATTCTGAACAGTTTTGTCTTGGATTATATGGTACAGTCTGTGTTGGCAAAGGGGCTTAATGAACTACTGCTGTAGACTTCCACGGACACGGAGCCCAAGCTCCTGGGTGTAAGAGGCCACCGTGTTCCTGTTGCTATTAGCCCGAGCCTGGGTGTACTCACATAACCCAGAGCGGCTTGACGGGGGAAGGACCCTTGCCAGACACTTGGTTCTTTGCTGCCATTCCCCTACAGCATGCTCTCCAGTTATTGTAATTTAAACCAGAAATAAATTGCTACAAATGGCTCGATATAGCAGAGGAACAGTCAATCGGGAGAAAGAACTCCTACCCGTAGCCAGAGGTGTACATGCCTCAAGGGGACAGCCCCTGCCTGTGGTTTTCATAGGTTTTCATCCCTATTTGAATAATTTGCGGTGGAATATGTCATATTCTTAAAGATTCTCTTATGCAACAGTAAGTGAAATGTTACCCAGGCAATTACACCCCAGAAATTTTATATATATATATATATATCCCTATGGTATGCTTTGTAAAAATGTATTGAATGTTAACACCTGCATGTCTTGTAATTTAGTAGGTTCTGTGTGGACTTTGCTAGTGAGGTCACATTTTTAGACAGAGGATTCTAGAGGATTTTTAGAGCTGCTGGTCATTTCTTGAGTCCTGGGATAGAATTTGCAGCAAGGCTTCAGATTTGAGTTTCACCATCGAACCAATCCACCTGCCCAGACATTTTCCAAAGGACATATGAACTCATGATGCCGTAGTTCTTTCTGTACCATTCAATAAATAAAAATAGAAATTTTAAAGTGTTTTCCTACTATTTTCACTAGTAATATATTTTATTAAATTAGGTTGGCTTAAAATAGTAACTTTTCTCTCACATAGAAATCATAATTAAATGTATCCTGTACAAGACCTCCAGTGGTCTGGAGGCACAGCTCATATGTGGACTATCTGTTTTGAAGACTATCAAGCTATGAATAGTTTATAAGTGATCTGGCCCCTTAGTAATTAGAAATAAGTTTATTATTGTCAACATATGCAGGTTTGTCAGGGGATTTGGGCCCACAGTTTCCTGTGAATTTCTAATAGGAGGTGATTGTCTGCCTTCCATAAATAGTTTAGAAAATCACTGCTTTTTTGCCATTACTTCTACATGGACAACTCCACCTTACAGACTGGAAAAAGGTAAAAAAGGAGGGGACACGCTCATTTAAGAACTTCAGACTTGGAAAAACTTCTAAAGACGAGAGAGCCCTGTGAAGGAGATGAGATCAAGCATTTCCTTTATTAAGATGAGGCTAATCCTTGCTTTTACATACCCATGTCCTGATGACCTTGTTTCTTTTGTCTTTCCCT